AAGTTTAATCAGTACTTCCACTTTTACCAGAGTATTTTTTAACACAAGTATCTGTACTTTTACTCAAGTACGGAAAGTGAGTACTTTTGCCATCTCTGGCAATCATGATCTGCATTTTTAAGACCTTAGGAACGTATCCAAAGTGGAATCCCATCTGTAACATCCCAACATTAAAGGAATAGTACACCCAAAACATTTCCTAAAAGCGCGTTCACGAGTCTACGGAAACCGCGGCAGACCAAACCAGATGAAAGTGCGCATTCAGCTCGGCAAAGAACTCATGCTCTTCCTCAACACTGAAGTCCTCAGACATTTTTCTTTCGTTGTTTCTTTCTTTGCACAGGTAAACAGCACAATTCTTCTTCTACGCTTGCATTATCGGCAGAGCAGACACTGAATGCGCACTTTCATCTGGTTTGGTCTGCCGCGGTTTCCGTAGACTCGTGAACGCGCTTTTAGGAAATCCTATACACTACTGTTTATGCTCTAAAAACATTCTAAATGACTTTGTTTCGAGTAAATTCTGGACGCTACCCACTCAGGACACTTGGAATACATTGGACGAGCAGTATGGAGGAATATTGACACGTTTTTTGTGGACTTTTATGGACCTTTCTGCCTCGGGCGCCATAGACCTCCATTATTTGAATGTCAGCAGACAGCAAGAAGCCTCCCAGATCTCCAGATGCATTTGAGATATCCAAAAAGTACTCCAGAGTGTTGTTCAGCATGGGGGTGAGTAGAAAATGAAGGCTAATCATGTTTTGGGTGTACTATTCCTTGAAAGTTGTAGGGAAATCATATTTTAATGTAAAATCATTCTGGCCTAAAGATGTACAGTCATGGCCTAAAGTTTTGAGAATGATTCAAATGTTAACATTTACAAAGTCTACTGCTTCATCTTTTATAATGGTAATTTGCATATTCTAAAGAGTTATCAGCATAATGGCAATTAATTGCAAAGTCAATATTTGCTTAGAAAATGAACTTTATCCCCCAAAACACATTTCAGAGTCATTGCAGCCCTGCTTTAAAGGAGCAGCTAACATGGTTTCAGTGATTGGTCCATTATCACAGGTGTGGGTGGTGATGAGGACAGGGATGGAGATCAATCTGTCAGGATTCAGTCAGAATGACACCACTGGACACTTTAAAAAGAGGCTGGTGCTTGGCATCATTGTTTCTCTTCTGTGAACCATGGTTATCTCTAAAGAAACACCTGCAGTCATCATTGCACTGCACAAAAATGGCCGAACAGGAAAGAGAATCGCAGCTAGAGAGATTGCACCTCAGTCAGCAATCTATGGCATCATCAACAACTTCAAGGAGGGAGGTTCCATTGTTGCCAAAAAGGCTCCAGGGCGCCAAGAAAGACCAGCAAGCAGGACCGTCTCTGAAAAGTGTTTCAGCTGCGGGATCAGGCTACCAGCGGTGCAGAGCTTGCTCAGGAATGGCAGCAGGCAGGTGTGAGTGCATCTGCACGAGACTCTTGGAGCAAGGCTTGGTCTCAAGGAGGGCAGCAAAGAAGCCACTTCTCTCCAGGAAAACCATCAGGGACAGACTGATATTCTGCTAAAGGTCCAGGGAGGGGACTGCTGAGGACTGGGGGAAAGTCATTTTCTCTCATCAATCCCCTTTCCCATTGTTTGGGACATCTGGAAAACAGCTTGTTGGGAGAAGACCAGGTGAGCGCTACCAGCAGTCTGGTCTCATGCCGACTGTAAAGCATCCTGAAACCATTCATGTGTGGTGTTGCTTCTCAGCCAATGGAGTCGGCTCTCTCACAGTCTGACCTAAAAACAGCCATGAATAAAGAATGGAACCAGAATGTCCTCCGAGGGCAACTTCTCCCAACCGTCCAAGAGCAGTTTGGTGATGAACAAGGCCTTCTCCAGCATGATGGAGCACCTTCCATAAAGCAAAGGTGATATCTAACTGGCTCAGGGAACAAAACAGAGAGATGATGGCTCCATGGCCTGGAAACTCCCCTGATCTTAATCCCGTTGAAAACTTGTGGTCAATCATTAAGAGACGGCGGACAAACGAAAACCTAGGAATTCTGACCAAATGCAAGCATTGATTGTGCAAGAATGGACGCTATCAGTCAGGATTTGGTCCAGAAGTTGATTGAGAGCAGCCAGGGAGAATTGTCCTGAAGAAGAGGGATCAACACTGCAAATATTGACTTGCTGCATTAACTCATAACTCTCATTAAAAGCTTCTGTTACTCAGAATATGATTGCAATTGTATTTCTGTATGTGATGACAACATCTGACATGAAAACCAGAGGGCAGCAGATCATGTGAAAATATAATATTTGTGTCATTCTCAACACTTTTGCCAATGACTGTTTATAAATGTACTCTTTATCAGATGATATTGTCCGAAAATTTAGAAAATTTCTATTTAAAAATATAATCCTGTCTTAAAATATGTGGCGTTTTTGTTATCTTCTGCAGGCCAGTTAGTTCTACGTCGGCCAATCATACATCACGGTCATCTGTCAATCAAATGTTTTCAGTCATAGCATCTTGATTCATATGTAGCAGCTAATATACGCAACGGTTGAAATCAGAATCCTTTCCTTTCCCATTGAGTTGCGTCCCAGTGTTCACGGGGATGGACGTCTGTGTCTTCGGCAGGCGTAGAGCTAACAGAACTGGCAGCGTTGCGAGGCAAGGGCTCAAACATGTACGGCTGGAAGCCTTCTACACCAAACCAAGGTTCTGCCGCCCTGGCGTCCTCTTCCACAACATCTTCGTCCCCCCTTTCCTCCTCTAAATAAAAAATGGATGACGGAGGAGACTCATCCACGACCTCCGACACTAAACTCTCCTCCTCTTGCATGTTTCTGCCGTCCATAGCGTTTCTAAGTCAATTCGGAAATGCAACGGTTGGAACAGCCGCTTCAACTTTAGAGAAAAATGACTTTAAAGAAAAACAGACTCATTACTTTACTGATCTCCTCACTGAAGCATTAAAACAGTCCAACTGAAAAATGCTCTACAAAGGATTCGAACATCAAAAGGCCACTCCGATCATATACTTCTTCCCTGATATGAAAATAAAGTTTTGTTCGTCCACATTAAGGTCAGACGTCCAGTTAAGTGAGTCCAGATGCTTCAGCTGCTCCTGTGTTCAATGCCAGAGAGCAGCTTTGCTATATTAGCTGTGATCAGCGGGTAGAAAGTAGTTAGAATCTATGTTGAAGTGAGAAAGTCCTCCTGAAAACATGGTCTGTGCAGTCAGTTCATCCAGATTACCATCCTGCCTTCAAAGATTATTTCTCTGTGGGAGCCGCTCAGTCCATTTTCCAGGACAGGTGTGCTGTATCCTCCGTAGTCTTGGGTATCCCAGGATTCATTGCAAATCCAAGCAAGCCGGCTGCTAGGTGCTCAGACAAAGAAGGGAAATGGCGTTGTAGCAGCCTGGCTGGCCGGGCTAATCAGTTACATTTATCATTTGTTTATTGCTTTTAACTTTACCTGAATTTCCACATCTGTTACATTTTGGTCTGTCATATTATATTGTTTTAAATAGTAAATCGGATGTCATGATAATTCAGGAGCTTTTTTACCAAATGTTTGTTTATTCTTATTTTCTGTGATGGTGACTTTGAAACTTTTAACCACTAGGGGCACTAGACCTTACACAGACTTACAACCCCTCAACTTAATCCACTACTTATACCTTGACGTCAAAATATATTGTTTATATATATATATATATATATATATATATATATATATATATATATATATATATATATATACATATATATATATATACATACACACACACTAGGGATGCACGATATTGGGATTTTGGCCGATATCCGATATGCCGATATTTTAAAACTCATGTAGCCGATAACCGATATCGATACCGATGTTAAAGCTGGAGAAAAATAAGTAGTCATTGAAAATAGCAGTTTTGTTATCCATTTCTGACACTTTGAAAAATAATATACTCAAATATATTTTCATATGCTGATATCAAATAGATTTTTAAAAACGCGGTATCGATCTATTTTACATTCAAAATCTGGGGAAATTTCATCGTTCTGTTACAAACTCTCGTGATATTTTGCAAATTCTTGTGAGATTTTGTTAGTAAAATAGATCGATACCGCGTCAATATATCAACATATAAAAATATGGCAACATTTCGTGAATTTTGGGGGGATTTCGTAGCATAACGATGACATATAGCAATATTTCATTAGTAAAAGAGATTGATATGGTGTTTTTAAATGGCAATATATCAGCATATGAAGATATTGGGATATTTTAATGTATCAATATTTTTCCCTCGTCTTTAGAAGTTTTTAAGTCTGTAAAAAAAGAAGTTTTTGAGGAAGAAGAAGTATTTTTATTTTTATTTTTTTTAGACTTTAGAAACTCAGAAGCTGATCAAATATCGGGTTAAATATCGGTGGGGTGGCCGATGTCCGATATTCAGTTTTAAGGCCGATACCGATAGGGGGCCGATTATATCGTGCATCCCTAATATATATATATATATATATATATATATATATATATATATATATATATATATATATATATATATATATATATATATATATATATATATATATATATAGACATCAATTTGCAACAATGGTGAATACGGAGATCAATTAAGCAAAAAGCCCAGTTAAGATATTAGCAATCCTCTACTCTATAACCGCAGCTCCTCCATATTTACATTCACAGGAGCCGTTCAGATTCAATATGCATCTAATTGCCAGATAAAATAGAGCATAAAGCATGAAAACAAAATATATCACACTTACCAGAGATGCTAAGTTGTGAATGTAGGTTAGCGTTTTGAAGGCCCTCACAGCCCACCGCTGAATCTAATTTAATTTATCCATCAGCAGAGGCTGTGTGCCAAACATTCCTGCCTGTGGCTCTGATGACGCTCCTCCAGATTCCCACTCAGAGAGCATGGGAAGCTCCCAGGGATTTTTATAGAAACAGATCATCCAGGCTGATTTAGTGGAAGAACTCTTTAATTTAGAAAATCCAACAAGAAAACAGTCATTAATATCAGTGGAGGAAACATCGAAATAAAACAGGGAAATGCTACATTCTGCTCAACTACAGTTTATCTTTTACAGACGGCAGAAAAAGGGGTTTAAAATTGTAGCTTCCATTACTGCCAATGGATACTTCATGGAAAAATACTCCTAAATACAGGAATAAATAACACATATACATAAACTGAGTAGAAACTTGGCACGGCTCCCATGGAAACGGCTCCCTGAAAAAAAGACAAAGAAAGAGAAGATTCAACTTTAGACCCTAAAATACATTCTATAAAGTGAAGGAATTTATCTTTAGGTAAATTTTTTTTTTTTTGGTTGGTTCTTTATGGATCGCATCTTTCAAAGTTAAAGGAAAAAAACGGTCAGCAAGGAATAAACAATGGATCATTATTTATACCTAAAACTAATAACATTGCAGTGATTTAATGAATTTAGCTTTAATCAGTTATTAAAATAATAAAGAGTCTGGGAGCGGCCATTTTAGCCCAAATATAGTAACCCCTCCCTCCCGCCATCTTCCAGTAGTGACGTCACGGTGCGGTAAGCCTAGCGCCATTCTCCCCGCTTTACAAGCTAAATCAATGGGAACTACCGTATTTTCACGACTATAAGGCGCACTTAAACGTCTTTTTTTCCCTCAAAATGTGCGGTGCGCCCTATGTGTGTTGTAACTGCGACTTTTGAGACCACCTCATTGAGGAGATGATGAAAGAGTGGCTGAATGTAAGGAGACCAGGTGTTTTTTTCCACTCATCACCATCGCTGTTAATCTGTAACTCCATGCGTGCCCATCTCACAGCTGATGTGAAAAACATGGGGAAACAAATTAACGCTGTGCTCGCTGTTCAACCGCTCGACATCGGTGTGAACCGGACGCAGCAGGTGCAGCAGAAGCAGCGAGTTTACATGCAAAGTCAATGGTTGACGCGCGTATAGGTGCAGTAAAAGGTCCCGCAGCGCGTTTTGAGCAGCAGGCGCAGCGCGTCGGGAGCGTTTAAGCATCTGATGCTCTTGATGCGCCGCCAACGCGCTCCTGCTGCTCAAGATGGAAAAATTGAAGTTTTGTATGGGAGAATTATCCTGCCATAATGCAACAGCACATAATTTCAATTTGAGAAAAGAATTTCATCTTCTTGCACTCAAAACTTATAATGCTCACACTCCAAACATGCGCTCTCTCTCAAATATTTTCTCTTCTCTCTCAAATCTTTGTTTCTTCTCTCAGATTTAATGCTTCTTGCACAGATATATTCTCCTCTCGCTTGCCTCCTTCTCTTCGCGCACAAACCGCGCTCCGCTAGAGTCTCAGATACGCTCGCAAACCCGTAGGCTCTGCTTGCGGATTTTTGTTGCTCTCTCTCGGATTGCACTTGGGTCGTCGCCTAGCAACCATTCCAGCCAATAGAACGACAGCCTGGGAAAGGGTGCGCTTGTTTAACCCTACTGAGTGTGCCTGTGCTACTACGCCACTTATAAGAGCGTCAGCTGAAAGTGCTATTTACAGGAGTTTTGTGGCTCGATTCAGCAAAGTTCAGTACTTATGGATAACCCCAAAAAATTCTGAATTAAGTAATTTTAAACAATTAGTGGTTTGTTATGTACAAAAGCAAAGAACCAACATATTAAATTATCTTGAAATAGAGCTATAGTGAAACTGACAATGCCCACGTGCATGGCAGCTGGATGCTGGAATACCTCGGGTAAAAGTGGAAAAAAAAGTTATTCCACCTTTCTGATTCCTGATCCTCCACGGACGGGTTGGTCGTTGGATCGCCAACTTAAAGAGGGAGGATTCGCCTCATATTTAGTTATGCTATTTATCCAGTGAAAATGTTTTTTGTTTCACCTGCAAGGCTGAGAAAGTGGTGGTTTTAGACAAAACTTACTTATTCGCACGACACGCGAAATTGTTTCTCAAGGTTTGGTAAAATGTGTGTACCGTATTTTCCCGACCATAAGGCGCACCGTACTAAAAGGCGCAGTCTCAGTTATGTGTGCCATTACTGTATTTAACACACACATAAGGCGCACCGGATTATAGGGCGTGGGTTTTATATACACCGGTACATATCCTCTACTACGTTTAAATACCTCTACTGCGTATTTAAAAATAGAGCGGGAATGATTGTGCTTTATTTATGTATTTATTACAATACAGGAAAAGGCCACATTTTCTAAACAGAAATAAAAACAAAACATTAGGGTTAGTCCAGATGTGAAACTAAAATCTTTTTCACATTGTATTTGTTCTAGGGCTGCAACTAACGATTATTTTAAAAATCGATGAATCGGCCGATTATTTTTTCGATTAATCGATGAATCGGACAAAAAATATTTTTTATATTAACCTCTTTATTCCAAAATAAACATTTTAGACAGAACAAACAAGCACACAAGTACAGGTTGCTCATTAACTGTACTGGTGCAATATGAAAAATAAATGTTTGTGTTAAAACTACGCAAACTTACATGAGAAATGTAGCTGTACATCCACAAAATATAGGCTACTTTGTTTCATAAAGCGCAAAAAAAGACATTTTTGTTTTTAAAGCCCCTAAGGGGTTCAAACAATAGCCCCCCCCATTTCAACAAATGAGTTTTTTTAGACTAGAAGAGTTCTGCCTTTTAAGACAGGAAAGTATAGCAGTTAAAGTTGCTACTTGAGAAAATACTGAACCATAGAGATAAAAATAGCCCTGTGATTCAAATTATAAATTGTATTTGGAATAAAAATGAGAGAACTAGGGGTGCTAAAAAACACATCCTCCAAAGACATATTTACATGGGAATGTGGCAGATAATTAATTGACATATTACTGATCTTGCTGGATTTTATTCTGCTTTACTTCCATAAATTGCAGGATCTTCTTTACTTTATCTTTGCCAGAAAATTTAAACTTTAAAAGCCTTGCCCTCATAATTTGCAAGTTAATTTATTTATAAAGAAAATATAAACGCTGCTTAAGCTAATTCAAATGATATAAAAGTAAAATAAGTAGCCAACCTTATCACTGTCTGTAACCTACTAACACGGTAAGGAAAGCATCAGATGAGCTACCTGAGAAACTAACGTTACGTTTCCCCACTTTAAAACCAAACAAACATGGCCGCTCACCCTGCTGATCAGCTCTCTTCACTGCCATCGAAGGCTCCAACCTGTTTCCTTTTCAGGTGCTGCGTCATAACAGTGGTGCTTCCGCGCCATGTTCATTTGTTTTTACAAAAGTTGCATGTTAAGACTTTTTTCGCTTTACAAAGCGCAGGCTGTCTGCAAATTGAGACGCAGCTTGCGTTTGCGGTATCGGTCATTAGAACAGTTGATGTTTATGCCTTTTGAAAACAGCCTTTGCTCACCTGCGGCGCTGGCTCGCTCCGCCGTATTTTTTTTTTCTTCCCGCGTTTCAATCAAGCGGTGGATGACGCATTAATCGCGCGACACAACTAATCGATGATGACACTCGTTGCCAACGCATTTAAAAGTCGATTTTTATCGATTTTATTGGTTGTTGCAGTCCTAATTTGTTCAAATATAGTGTCTCCAAAGTTTCTTTTATGCAGCTTTTTTCTAACTTTCTTTTAAATTCCTATTTTTCAGTCTGAGTTTTACTAATTTATTTATTAAAGGTGACATCTGGCCTGATCCTGAAGCTTTTAAAGGATGAAATGTTTGTTTCAGTCTGCAGCTGATCAGACATTCTCTTCAAGCTGCACGCCACAGATCATCATCATCCTCACTTTCAGCCCAGTAACGCTCGTCTCCACCAATCAAAATCCCGCCGCTAACGTCCAGCAGACCAAAACTTTTGCTGTTTTGGAATTGTATTTCTTTCAAATATTTTAAAAACAGGATTTGACCGGCTCCTTTGCTGTCACTATTTTGCATTTCATGCTTTAATGAAGGATTTATTAATGTTTTGACTGAGGATGTTTTTACCTGCAGTGCAGCTGATGTCAGCTCTGCGTCTTTGTTCCAGAGCTCCACACAGAAGGATCCTCCTGCAGGGCTAACGTCTGATGAACAAACTTCAGCATTCCTGTCAGCGAGCCCATATCCTCCTCCTCCTCCTGTCCCACCAAAGTGCTCTCAGACTCCCTCCTGGACTCGCTCTGCTGCACGTCGTCTCGGTCCACCATGTAGGTGAGCGGGTTGAAGGAGCTGTCAGAGGACGCCGAGGCCTCGGCAGCGCTGAGCCCCTGCCAGCTGAGGTCGGCGGTCTCTGGGAAGGAAGCAGACGGTGAGGAAGACTCCCACGGCGGCTTGATCAGGGTGGCCTTCAGGCTGGGAGGAAGGTCCACAGAGGAGCCGGTGCTGCTGGTCTGAAGCAGGTCACTGGATGGGAGGTATGAGGGAGCGTTAGTCAGGGACGGCGCCGGACGGTCCGTCAACGTCTGCAGGGCAGGAAGGGAGGCGGCGTGACCGAACAGAATCTGCCGCTCCGCAGATCTTCCCATACTGGAGATCCGGGCCTGGAGGCGAGTCACCTCAGACTCCTGCAGGAGGTAAGGAGACAAATGAAAGGGAAGGACTTTAAAAAGAAAAGAGGTGAAGCTGGGATCCTGGAGCAAAGCGTACCTTTAAGAGCAGCGAATCGGTCGACCTCTCCAGAGACTCTTGGGAGGTACGGAGCCGAGTTTGGAGCTGAGAAACCTGCTTCCTGCTCTGCTGCAGCTGCGCAGAGAGCAGCTCCAGCTGTGCAGTCAGACGGCCGTTCTCCACCCTGGTTTGTTCCCCCAGCGTCCTGCTCTCCTCCAGCTCCGCTTCTCTCTGCAACAGCTGCACCTGAAGGTGGCTGGCTCGGCCGTGGCTGTGATCCAGCTCGGTCTGGGCCCGGTCCAGCTGGCTTTCCACCCGGCCGCAGCGCTCCTTTGCTTCCTCCAGCTGCTTCTGGCTCTGCTGGAGCTTCAGGGTGAGCTGCTCCTGGGAGGAGCGCATGCTGGTGGAGATCTGCTCTGAGACTTTGAGGAGCTGGCCTCGAGTGTGCTGCAGAGACTCCAGCTGCCAGAGGACGGAGAGCGACAGAGTTCAGAACACAGAGCTTCACAACAAGATTCAACCAGGCCTCAACTGCTGCAATGCATTTTAAAGAGGTAGAACAGGAAGGCAGCGTTCATCACCTGCAGAAGGCAGGAGGATGAAACAACCTCACATCTGCTAAGATGCAGCCAAAAACCAAGCCTGTTATGAAGCAGGGTGGAGGTAGCATAATGCTGAGGGAACAGTTGCATGGTCAGAGCTGAAGGGAGGACTGATGGAGGTTAACAGAATGGCCTAGTTAAAGCCCAGACCTAACGATCCAGCTGAAAAACACAGAGGAAAAGTGGAAGAGTTAGAGGCGGATCTACCTGATGACTTTTCTCATTACACTGTCAGAAGTAGAGAGCAACGAATTTCACTCTCTGCATTTAACCTGCGGGAGCAGTGGGCTGCCATTGTGCGCCGCCCACGGAGCCGTGTGGGGAATTAAGGGTCTTGCTCAGGGACCCAGAGCTACAGCTTTATGATGTAAAACAGAGGTCACTGTTTAGCGGAGCGCGGTCCGGATCCAGATCCACCTGCTGGCTAATCCGGACCCAACCTGATTTAAAAAATTTATAAATTACCGCATGTTTTCTGACAGCAGAGTCTAATTTAACTTGCGCCTCTTCTCCTGTTAACACGGTAAAGCTCTGGGGAGCGTCCGGCTCCAGGCTGCACGTGATCCAAATGAGCCAATGAGCTGTCAGTCTGGGTTGCTGCTGCTGCTACTTTTAGACACAGCAGGCAAACCTGTTAGCCTCGTGAGACCATCCTGATCTTGCGAGCTTTCAAGGTTTCACTCGCAGATCAGTCTGGAGACTCTCCGTTAAAGAAAATTTGGAGCCGTTCACCAAACGAACGTCCAATCAGCGTTGGCTTTGAGGCGGGTTGAGGTGTGACGCAACGAGAAGCGCGACAGTTCAGTCTAAAGAACATGGCGGCTTCAGCCGATGAAACTAGCGTTAGCGTGGCTATCGAGCAAGTTTTATGGGAATTACAGAGTATTTCTTCACTGAAAGAAGAGCAAAACACTGCTCTGGAGGCTTTTCTCAGAGGAAAAGATGTTTTTGCTCTTCTCCCGACTGGTTTCGGCAAGAGTTTGATCTATCAATTGGCTCCTCTTCGTCGTCGCTCTGTTAGTACGTCATATGCTTCGTTGATCTGATTGGTTTATTTGGCCCGTCTATCACCAACATAGGCCAATCAGCTAACCAGTATTTTCGCCCCTTCCCAAAATTACTTCAACGGAAGGTTTCCAGATGGATATGCGCAGCAAATCCATCTGGCGGAGTCAGGTTACAAACCTGTGGCAAGCCGGGCGATGGGAAAGAAGGAGAAGACCATGAGAAAAAGAGAGCAGAGAAAGTGTGGACTGCTGGAAGAACTGCGGTGAACTGGTGAAAGAAAAGTGAAATGGCGTGCTCAAAGATGACCCTGCACATTTAGAGGATGTTTGGCTCAACCTGCTGCTGTGAAGCAGGATTCTCCACCATGAACAGAATCAACAATAAATCTGGATCCAGGCTCAAAATGAGCTCCTTGATATGTGCTTGAGAATGGCTTAGTCTCCGGTTAAACCCAGGTTTAAAGCCTTGCAGGGCAGCCTAAAGCCCACTGCCAACATTAAGACAGGAAAAAGGTGTTTTATAAAATGTGAATCAGGTAATTGTCTATATACCAAACTGAAAGATTGTTCTGTACTTAAAAAAAAACACTTTAGATGGTTTTAAAATGGAAACATTTTCAATTTTTTTATTTAAAAATTCAATGTATAACATGGAAGCATAAAAACCTCCTTTAATTTCTGTGTTAAATTCTGTTTAATGTAACAGATAATAATTAAAAATGTCTCCGGACCTTTACTGGTTGATGATTTTTAACCCCTGATCTAAATGATGCAGAGTGGAAAACTTTATTGATAAATAAAAACTACTTCATGACACTCAGATCCACAGCTCTGGTACTGCTGGATTAATAACAATTACATATTTACACGGATAAAAAAAAGATTAAACTATAATTCATACATATAGACATAAGAATGTAGACATTAGGGCTGAAACTAACAATTCTTTGCAAAGCAAAATGATCCTTAAAGGAGATTTTTTGCAGGTGAGTTCTGCTCAGAGCATGTTAACGGACACATTTCAAAATATTATTTAATATCTACTTTTTATTAAAATTGTAGTAGTGTTTATATTCCCATTTTTAGTGTATTTCTAATTTTGATTCGTTGCAGTGATGGTTTAAATTTTTCTTCTTCGGGTAAAAATTATATTCTGTCATTTATTGACTCAGAAAAGGAGAATCTAAACAAATAACCTGAATTATTTTCCTTTTTATTTCACCATTGAGAAAACCTGAGCATTGGCCAAACAAATAAAATACAGTATATATATATTTTTATAATGGTTAAAAAGTTTAAAAATAAGGTTTCTCTGGGGAAATAAGATCAAAAATGGGAAAAGAACAAAAACAGAAGACAGAACGAGGAACAGCAGTGACCTCTGCAGTGTGTCACAGTGTGACATGTGTGAGGAGGAGGATGGATCCCTGAGCTGCAGCTTCAGGAGGAACCGTACCCAGGGTTCCTACAGAATAAGGCAAGTTAAATTCAAGAAGTAAGATGATTTTGTAAGACCAAAATCACAAGAAACAAAAGAAAAACCTGCTTGCTCCAACTTAACCCAAAGGTTTATTTTAACATAAACCACTGCACTAATGTTTCAAATGTTGAAAAGCTTCCCATACAGGAAGAAAGCTAAAAACACACAAATGACAGATATATTTGAACAATTATTTAACTGAATTCACAAACTTTGTTTTAGCAGGGAACAAAACAAATCAGTTTTAAAGCCCCAACATAACCAGCGCTAAGTCTTTTTAGCAGCTATTTTTCTTTGTATGGTTTTCTTAGTATGTTTGATTTGGTGATAAGTGGAGGCGTTGCAGAGACAAGGGTGGAACTAAACTGAGAAATACCGGCTGTTTCTCTGTAACTCCATTTTGACGCTTTGTGTTTCGCGCTTTGCATGTGCGACTCCACTGCCTTAATTCCCATCGTTCTGAGCTTGAATGACTTCTAGCATAAATCCACTGAGCCTCATGTATGTTCCCTGGTTTTAGCCATGGAGGAAACTCTTGGCTGGAGACTATTTTGGTTACATTTACACTTGCTCAGATTTTCCAGACAAAAAGTTAATGGAGCATCTCCCAAATGTCCCCCCAGCAACAATGCTTTATTGGTTCCGCTATCGGGACGGAACCAATAATGGAGAACCATTATTTATTTATTTTTTTATAAAAAGAAAAACAAAAAAATCGTCAATTTTAAATTTTTATTTAGATTACAAAATAAATCGTAATAAAAATAATCCTATTTATGATGGTTTAAAAATTAAGACCAATGAAAGACTGATTTAAGACATTTTAATACCAATTAAGGCCTTAGTTTTATTTTGAAGAATTCAATGCCTTTTAAGACTTTTTAAGGACCCGCGGGAACCCTGGTACCTCTTTGCTGTGCTGCTCCTTTTCCAGCTCCAGCTCCTCCTCCAAAGCGCTGACCGTGCTCTGCAGACGGGCCTCCTCCTGCAGCCAGCGGGCCTCCTTCAGCGTGAGCTCCTCCTCTACGCCACACAGCCGGGCCTCCTGCACAAACGTGCGGTTAGATCACATGCATCACACGGCTGCAGCTATGGAGTGAATGTTGTTCCGTTATTTCTGCAAAGACACACGTCTGGTAAATGGAAAAAAAAAAAAAAAAGGCTATCAAGAAATGAAACTTTAAACTTTAAAAGAACTTTTCAATCAAGAAGAGTTCTTTTAAATCAAGAAAAATCAAGATTCCTATAGCAATATTGCAATTTTTTCTGATTTCCTTTAATTTTTAAAAAAAATATTTTGCAGATTTTATATTTTTTTATTTGTTCAAATAAATAAAACACAATTTGAAAAAATCATCTAAAACAATTTGTATAAATAAAGCTTTAAAAACGTAAAAAAAAAAAAAAAAAAATTATCCTCAAACCCTTTTATTAATATACAAAATTTGCAGAAATAAAGCATAAAAATTCCCTCCATATCAAACTATTAAAGCTTTGACGTCACCGTCTCCCTGATCTGCAGCTTGGCGGCGTCCAGCTCTCGGCTCAGAGCATCACGGTGGCGCCGACAGGCTTCAAGTTCTTCCAGCACTTTCTGAAGCCTTTGCTGATTCTCTAGACGCTGTCGGTTGGACTCCTCTGACTCCTAAAAGCACAAAAACATGGACCTTCAGGAAGCTCCATCAGTTCAGTGACTGGATAAATTACCTAGGGATGCACAATATAATCGGCCCCCTATCGGTATCGGCCTTAAAACTGAATATCGGACATCGGCCACCCCACCGATATTTAACCCGATATTTGATCAGCTTCTGAGTTTCTAAAGTCTAAAAAGAAATAAAAAATACTAATTCTTCTTCTTCCTCAAAAACTTCTTTTTTTACAGACTTAAAAACTTCTAAAAACGAGGGAAAAAATATTGATGCATTAAAATATCCCAATATCTTCATATGCTGATATATTGCCATTTAAAAACACCATATCAATCTCTTTTACTAATGAAATATTGCTATATGTCATCGTTATGCTACGAAATCCCCCGAAAATTCACCAAATGTTGCCATATTTTTATATGTTGATATATTGACGCGGTATCGATCTATTTTACTAACAAAATCTCACAAGAATTTGCAAAATATCACGAGAGTTTGTAACAGAACGATGAAATTTCACGAGATTTTGAAAGTAAAATAGATCGATACCGCGTTTTTAAAAATCTATTTGATATCAGCATATGAAAATATATTTGAGTTTATTATTTTTCAAAGTGTCAGAAATGGATAACAAAACTGCTATTTTCAATGACTTCTTGTTTTTGTCCAGCTTTAACATCGGTATCGATATCGGTTATCGGCTACATGAGTTTTAAAATATCGGCATATCGGATATCGGCCAAAATCCAAATATCGTGCATCCTTAAAATGACCTTCATGAATTCAACGCTTCAAAAAGCAAACCTGCGTTTATCAAACATCATGTTTCTAACAGATTTGCACATCTGACAGAAATGTTTGCCGTTTTTTTTTTTTTTTGGTAAAATAGCTCAGATTCAAAAAATTGCAACTAAAAAAAAAGTCATTTACCAGATTTTGACTGGGCCATCCTGAGTAGGCAACAGACATGTTCACAAGTCATTTTTTGCAAGTCCAAGTCAAGTCTCAAGTCTAGAGTAGGCCTGTTGCAATATTAAATTAATCGCACAATAAATTCTAATCACATGATTAATAAAAATAAGTTCAATAATTTGCGTGCTTGCTTGTTTCTCCTTGTGTTTTCATCTCCTTCACTGAGACGGTATAACTTAAAGGTCGCTATTATATCTATGGAATGATCATTATCTTTAACTGGTAAGTGAAAAACACATGCCTATATGTCACGTAGCGTTGCATCAGTGCTACATGACTGTTTGACAGCCCCTCTGCCGTTTTTTTTATTCAGTCAAGTTAGTAAAACAAAAAACACTTAAAAAAAACAAAATACTGTTCACAAGTAAGAAATCGCGAGTCTCGGTCGAGACTAAAGTCCTTCAAATGCAAGTCTAAGTCGAGTCTGAAGTCATTAAATATGCGACTTAAGTGCGACTCGAGTACGAGTCACAAACTCGAGTCCCCACCTCTGGTAGGCAATAAAAAGTTCTACTGGATTCTCTTTGTTTTAGTCTTTTTCCTGCTTCACAAAGGAAGGCAGCAGCTTGACATGAAGCCATGATGGTGATTATTTTACATCCAGGTAGTATGAAGTTCTTCAGATACACACACATCAATTTCAAACAGATGGTATCGGTACCAGCTGATACTGCACAACCAGGTATCGGGGCCAAAAAATTGGTATCGGCGCAACAATAGTTTTAATACCAAATCAGGATTTTGGAGCTTTTAATTGTGATATAGTCTTATTACTTCATAAAATTCCTATTCCAAGTGGTATTCTGCCTAATTTATGCTCAGTAAACAACACACTCACTTTATTATCTGATCAGAAAGCAGTGATACGAGGCAGCGTGCCATCAGATTTAGTGTTCTCAGCAGATGAGCCTGGTTCTGCTGGAGGTTTCTTCCTGTTCAAAGGGAGTTTTTCCCCTCCACTGTCGCTACAAGCATGCTTAGTGTGAGGGATTGCTGAAGAGTCAATGAGTCGATGCAATCAGCTGGTTTTCCTTAGATCAGTGGTCCCCAAACTACGGCCCGCGGGCCGGATCAGGCCCACCTCCACATTTGGTCCGGCCCCCTGAACAATACCAGAAAGTATTTTTTTTTTTTGTATTTGATAATAAAGTTGGACATTTGCAATAAAATGTTCATTAATTATGAAGTTTTTTAATTATTAACTATTAGTAACTATTTCATACACCCATATAACGCAACAATGTTCCACCCTTTTGGGGTCTGTGCCCCTATCTGAAAACCACCAGCAAAAAATCTTACACCCGCCCCTCTCAAAGAGATACGGAAGAGGATTAGGGCCATTCAAAAAAATAATAGTCTATTCAATTCTGACTTTTTTCTCAGAATTCTGACAAATAAAAAGTCCGAATTAAATAGTCTTTTTCTTTATTCTTTTGAATGGCCCTAAACACAAAAGGCTCTTCTGTAAAGAGAGAACGGAATAATGGCGAAAAGATTAGGTAAGAGAAAAATTGATTCAGACTGCAGGGCATTTAACCTGAATTGGACAAACGATTTATTTATTTTTTTGTTCAAAGCAAAGAAAAGGCTATCTGTCTCATCTATCAAGAGACGGTGGCGGTATTCAAAGAATATAACCTGCGGAGACAATATGAATCCCGTCATACAGACATAAATCCCGTCATATATTTAGGCACTCTTGCAATCGTCACAATTTCTCTGTTACAAACTGACCCCGGCTCCTAATCAGAGAAGGGAAAAGTTATGTGGCCCTCACAGGAAAAAGTTTGGGGACCCCTGCCTTAGATAGAAAACTTTGGTGAACTGGAAAGTGCCTTGAGATGACATGATGTGAATTGGAGCTATAGAAATAAACTGAATTGAATTGAAATTTTAGCAGCTAATCTGCACGGTGACAGCAACTGTTTTTTTTAAATAGGGTTGTCAAAAAATATTGACACTCCAATTAAAAAAAAAAAGAATCAACACTAAAACTTTCCTGATAAAACCATAATCTGGAATGTGTTTGAAAAAATTATTTAACATTCTTCTTAAGCCTGATTTATACTCAGAAACCAGGTTGTCTGCATGTATGTCGCAGTGAACACAGATATGTCCCGCCCCCTCCTCAGACACTCTGCTGCACATCTCTGAAATTGCAGGTGACCGCAGACAGGAGGCCTCTGATTGGTCAATCTACCTTCTATATTTCCTGTTTGGTTCCTTACCGGCTTGTTTTGTTTGTCTGACCGCCATTGAGAAAACAACTGGTGAAGATGGAGCAGCTAGCAGAGCGAGGTGCGCCAGAACACTGGGACCCTTTTCCCACCTGGATCCCCGCTCTTTTTGGCCCTCATTTCCCTCTGTTGTCACACAAACTTGACCCCACTTCCTCACCGCCTCGGCTGTATCTAGACCCACAGCTAGTTCCTAATTGGCCCTCTGGCGTTGTGGTGTTGAATAACATAGCATCGTGCTTCGGGGACGGATCGGATCGGGTAGTGACAGGTCTTTCATCGTGTGCAAAGGGCACAGAATCACATGATATTGATATTGATGTGGTATTGGTCATAACAGACTGTGACTAACTGGATGTGCTCTCTTCAGCCTCTGACATGGGAGCTGGCTCGGAGCTCGTCTGCCTGGCTGTGTGTTTCCTGGACGGGGCCGCCTGTGGAGCTGGTTGACAGTTGCCTTTTGTATCTATGCTTCTTTTTCTATGTCTGCTTCTGTCTCCTTGAACCCCAGTGGGCCTCAGCAGATGGCTGCTCACACTGAGCCTGGTTCTGCTGGAGGTTTCCTCCTGTTCAAAGGGAGTTTTTCCTCTCCACTGTCGCTACAAGCATGCTTAGTGTGAGGGAATTGCTGAAGAGTCAATGAGTCGATGATTTTTGAGTAGATGCGATCAACTGGTTTTCCTTAGACAGAAAACTTTGAATAAATTAGACTGGATGATCTGCCCAGGTTTTCATATCGCTGCCTCGCCTCTAGTTGTGGACGGAGGGTGGCCCCTGGGGGCCTGCAGGTATGATCTACTGATCACCAACTAACTGGTTAACTCTACCCACCCAGAATCAACCTGAGTTGTGATTACACATAGGATTCTTTCTTTATTAACCATCTTTTTTTTCTTATTACCTACATGTTTTTCTCCCTGCTAAAATCTTTGTCAAACTTCCGGCTCTCAGACCTTTGCATGTCTCTCTGTGAGCTCCTTCTCCTGGGCTTCCAGGCTCTGCTGCAGCAGCTCCACCTTCCTCTCCATCTCCAGCTTGTGATCTCTGATGGCGGTGTCCAGCTGGCCGAGCTGGGGGGGAGAGCGCAGAGAAGGTTAGAGGCTTTCCGTGGCAGCAGAGCGGCTAAAACATAAAAAGAGGAGCTTTTACCAGCTTGGCTCTCTGCTGCAGCTCCCCCTGTCGCTCCTTCAGTGCATTGTCCATGTCCAGGACCTCAAGAGTTCGCTCCTCCAGCTCCCTCTGAGTGTCTCTGTGGATTCACACATCAGCACCTGTTGGTGTTAATCCTAGGAAGCCTAAACCTTCACCCAGAGTACGGAGGGAGTTTTTTTATATCATTGATAAATGGAAATTATTAAAAAAACATCAAACAAACGAAACAAAAAGAAACATACTTTGCAAATTGATGTAGGAAAAGAAATTAAATCCATAAAAGAAAGAAATTATTTCTATGATTTAATTTTTTTAACCTAATGAATTGGTTAGGAAACACTGATTCGCTCCATTTGATATCAGAGATCTGATTGTTCCTTATGTTCCTAACAGAGCACTTCGCTCTCAATCTGCAGGTTTACTAGTGGTTCCTAGAATTTCTAAAAGTAGAATGGGAGGCAGATCTTTTAGTTATCAGGCTCCTCTCCTGTGGAACCAACTATCAGTTTTAGTCCGTGAGGCAGACACCCTGTCTACTTTTAAGGCTAGGCTTAAAGGAATAGTACACCCAAAACATGATTAGCCTTCATTGTCTACTCACCCACATGCTGAACAACACTCTGGAGTACTTTTTTGATATCTCAAATGCATCTGGAGATCTGGGAGGCTTCTTGCTGTCTGCTGACATTCAAATAATGGAGGTCTATGGCGCCCGAGGCAGAAAGGTCCATAAAAGTCCACAAAAAACGTGTCAATATTCCTCCATACTGCTCGTCCAATGTATTCCAAGTGTCCTGAGTGGGTAGCGTCCATAATTTACTCGAAACGAAGTCATTTAGAATGTTTTTAGAGCATAAACAGTAGTGTATAGGATTTCCTGAAAGCGCGTTCATGAGTCTACGGAAACCGCGGCAGACCAAACCAGATGAAAGTGCGCATTCAGCTCGGCAAAGAACTCATCCTCTTCCTCAACACTGAAGTCCTCAGACATTTTTCTTTCGTTGTTTCTTTCTTTGCACAGGTAAACAGCACATTTCTTCTGCTACGCTTGCATTATCGGCAGAGCAGACGCTGAATGCGCACTTTCATCTGGTTTGGTCTGCCGCGGTTTCCGTAGACTCGTGAACGCGCTTTCAGGAAATCCTATACACTACTGTTTATGCTCTAAAAACATTCTAAATGACTTTGTTTCGAGTAAATTATGGACGCTACCCACTCAGGACACTTGGAATACATTGGACGAGCAGTATGGAGGAATATTGACACGTTTTTTGTGGACTTTTATGGACCTTTCTGCCTCGGGCGCCATAGACCTCCATTATTTGAATGTCAGCAGACAGCAAGAAGCCTCCCAGATCTCCAGATGCATTTGAGATATCAAAAAAGTACTCCAGAGTGTTGTTCAGCATGGGGGTGAGTAGAAAATGAAGGCTAATCATGTTTTGGGTGTACTATTCCTTTAAAACTTTCCTTTTTGATAAAGCTTCTAGTTAGAGTGGCTCAGGTTATCCTGATCTATCTCTATAGTTCTGCTGCTATAGGCTTAGACTGCTGGAGGACATAGGGACCCCTTTTTCATCATTCTGCTTCATTCTATCTCTATTCTCCCACTCTGCAGAATCTGTTAGTTCAATCTCTAACCTTCTGCTCTCTCTGCTTTTTCTCATAGTAGCTTCATCTGGTCTGTTCCTGTTTGGCTGTGACTCCATCCTGGAGAGAAATATCAGCTGTGCTGCTGCCATCAACACCTTTGTTTCTAGATGTTGGAGCTTGGCCTGTTTTCCAGTGTAGTCCTGTTTCTCTGACTGTGACTAACTGGATGTGCTCTCTTTCAGAATCAGACATACTTTAATAATCCCAGAGGGAAATTACATCCTCTGACATGTGAATAATCTACCATTCTGGATCAGTCGCCCCTACTCTCATTGACCGATCTAAATATGTATGTGAATGGAGGGCAGAGATGGGAAGTAACGAAGTACAAATACTTCGTTACTGTACTCAAGTAGATTTTTCTGATATTTTTACTTTACTACTTATTTTTATGGCGACTTTTTACTTCTACTCCTTACATTTTTACACAAATATCTGTACTTTCTACTCCTTACATTTTAAAAAATTGGCTCGTTACTTTAGTTTTGAATCATTTCAATGGAGTTACCGTTATTATTTTTCACGTCATCAATACCAAATTCAATCTAATTGGATGGGAATCTACGTTGCATTTGACGCACCACTACAAGATGGATCGACAGATTCGGCGGTATTCATTGGCGGCAAATCATTGCAGCTTGGTGGCGGTGGCGTTAGCATAGTAGCATGGACGACGAGATGATTGAAAATGAACACAACGGAGATCTAGTCCTATTGGCAGACATCCATTTAAAATGTAGGCAACGGCATGAAAAAAGTGGTTTCTACTTTTACTTTTATTCTTTAAGTAAATTTACAAGCCTGTACTTTGTTACTTTTACTTGAGTAAAGAAGTTTAATCAGTACTTCCACTTTTACCAGAGTATTTTTTAACACAAGTATTTGTACTTTTACTCAAGTACGGAAAGTGAGTACTTTTGCCATCTGTGATGGCTGCAACTACAGCCACCCAAATGTGGTAACATTCAATCACAACACACACTAAGTCAGCAAGTCTCATTTCATTTATATTGGGATTTCTTTACATTTAGGATTTAATTTACAGAATTTTTGTAAGTCATAACACTGTATTCTAGAATAAGTGCGCACATTTTAGTTTACACTGTTATGTTCTGCTTGATTTAATCTTTGTTTTTGTTTTTTTGAGTCACCTCGGTGCTGGCTGCTCCAGTCCTTCAGGAGAACAGAGGTGGAGAAGGGGTGGAGCCAGCCCATTGAAGCTGCAAATTGGTTTACACCACTTCTCATCAGCAAGAGGGGGGGAATGGGATTTTCCTCTGTTAATTTCAGTTAGGTTTTTGTGTGTTTCCCCCTTTGTATCTTCTATGTGGCCGGATCAGCCAGTATTTAAGTTTTCCCTTTGTCTCATGTAGCAGGTCTGTTTGCTTCAGTAGGTCTTTTGTTAGCCTGAGTTAATTTCTGTTACTTTGACCTCTTTTATGGGCCCAACTTTGTGATTTGTTTTTTGTTGACCCAAGTTCTTTGTTTTGGGTTCAATAAAAAGAAGACTTTTTGGATCTAAACCTGTGCCTGATCTTCCTTTGACTGCTCAGACCATCACACCATCTCTGATGGAGGGATATTTCCCGCTTGTCCTCACCTCAGCCGAGCATTCAGTTCGTCCACCTGGGCTTTCTGTTCGTCACACGCTGCCTGGGTTCTCTGCAGCTCCTCCCTGAGCTCCTGCTGTCGTCCCAAGCTGTCGGTCAGCTCCCCCTGCACGGAGCGCAGCCGTCCCTCGAGGTCCTGGACTCGCTGAGCGCTGCTCTGCTGCTCTGCCTCACAGCGACGGAGCTTCTCTTCAAGATCTTCAACTGGAGGAAGACAAGGGGAGGAGCAAGATGGGGACAGCCTGCAGCCAAGCTGCTATAAAACCTAAAATGTTGAGCGGAGCTCATCCTGAAGGTCTCACTCATGGAGGTCTTGGACGTGATCTGCTCTGCCTTTGTGGCAGCTTGGCTCCTCAGATGCTCCAGCTGCGCTTCTTTGGAAAGCATTTCAGAACGACATTTTTCCATCTCTGATGCGATACGGCTGCCCAGAAAAAAAAAGTAGAAAAAAAAGCAGAAATTAGATTTTTTGGTGGTAAAATATATCAATCTCCTATTAATTCCCTTTGACATTTATTTATGTAAGTATGTATATATATAAAGATTTATGAGTTCTGAGTTTTATTCATTAAGTCTCTGAGCTCCAAGGCCACAAGTTTGGTTGTGGCCGGTTTGTAGGAAGCATCTTGCTAACCAGTTAGCAACTTAGTGCTAGCAGGTTCCCAATGGGAAATTCCATTGGGACCAAGTAGCACTAAATTGGTGACTTAGAAACGACGCTGTCAAGGAACGCTATGGACAGCGGAAACATGCAAGAGGAGGAGAGTTTAGTGTCGGAGGTCGTGGATGAGTCTCCTCCGTCATCCATTTTTTATTTAGAGGAGGAAAGCGGGGACGAAGATGTTGTGGAAGAGGACGCCAGGGCGGCAGAAGCTTGGTTTGGTGTAGAAGGCTTCCAGCCGTACATGTTTGAGTCTTTGCCTCGCAACGCTGCCAGTTCTGTTAGCTCTACGCCTGCCGAAGACACAGACGTCCATCCCCGTGAACACTGGGACGCAACTCAATGGGAAAGGAAAGGATTCTGGTTTCTGATTTTCTAAATTTTCTCATTTTTGATAGAGTACATTTATAAACACGTTTAAGCCAGAGTGATTTGACATTTAAATATGACTTCCCGACGACTTTAATTTTACAGATGCCTCTTTTAAGAGAAATGTAAGTTTTTGCCATTATTGAATCTTTAAATCAGATATAAATCCCTAATGAGCCATCATGGCGATTCGATTCAGTATCGATTTCCTGACCCAACGATTCGATTATTTTCGATACTCAAGAATACGCCACGATACGATTCGATTCATCGGTTATTTTATTTATTTATTTTTTTTACACCTTACAGGCTAAACAAAGTTTCAAGTTTGAAATAAATCAATGAAAGCTGTAACATCGTTATGTATTTTTTAAAGAAACAACAGCAAATAACAGAAGTAGAAAAGTTGCATCAAAAAATACTGCAGATAATCAGTGCAATTCAATACCTCGGCTCCAGACGTCCCGCCCCCTCCACAGACGCTCCGCTGCTCCTCTCCCTAATTGTAGCTGATCGCAGACAGTGCCGCAGACAGGAGGCCGGCTTGTTTTGTTTTTATGACCGAAATTGCGGAAAACAACTCGTGAAGTTTGACCCGCTAGCAGAGCGAGGTGCGCGAGAACGCTGGGACCCTTTTTCCACCTGGATCTCTGCTCTTTTTGGCCCTCATGTCCCTCCGTCGTCGGAATAAACTCGCCCCCACTTCCTCGCCGCCTCGGCCGTATCTAGACCCACAGCGTGTAGCACAGACCACGCGAAATATTGAGCATAATTTAAAAATGTCTGCATCAAGCTCACTGCAACACACTGCTGTAAGAGTATAACCAGGAAGCGAGGTAGGAGGGCAAAATAGGTTTAGCGCCACCGCAGCACGGGAGGGAGAATTACGCCCAGGAGCAAATGGATAAAAATAGACCGGAGGAAAAAAAGAACATGAATCGATTCTCTTGCGGACGTGTCGATGCATCGGATCGTCGGCTGTTGGATCGATGCATCGATACAAAACGATTATTATTTACACACCTAATATTACCTAATGTAGACATCAGGATGTGATTTTTTAATACGATGGCGAGTTGTGGGGACAGATTTCATCATTAAAAACAGGCTGTTTTACTGAGTTTTCTTTAATCCTGTTTTCAAAGCGGTTCTGCACAGAGTTTTGTACCTGATGGATCTGGACAGTTGCTCGTTCTGTCGGCTCGTCTCCTGTAGGTTCTCTTCAGCAGCCTGCGCCTTCAGCTCTCTACTTCTGATGTCATCCTGCAGAGAAGCCCGAGTCCGTTCCAGCTGGAGCTCCAAACTGGAAACCTGTGACGGACGGTAGAGAATCGGCTGATGTTGGAAAAGGACCAGGAAACTACAAACCAGAGAAGGCCACAGTTTGGCCTCTGGAAAATTCTGCTACGCCGAAGTAATCCTGAAGGACTCATTGGCGGAGAGGGGGCCCAGTTCTTTAGCTCCTAAACAAGCCCGTATCGTTACCCCTCTGCCACCATCTCAGCCTTGGCCGTTGTTTCAAAAGTCCTGCCCTTGATTCAGATGATTTTTTTCCAGTGTGAAAAGCAGCTTTAGAAATACTCCCAACACTAAAGTGATTCCGAATCGATTGACGATCTTCCCTCTGTGCGTCTAACTCACCTGTCTTTGCAGTCGGCTCTGGCTCTCCTCCAGCTCAGAAACCCGAGCCGTGCTCTCGGTCAGCATGGTCTGCTGCTGCTGCAGAGACAGCTGCAGCTGCAGGTTCTGCTCCGTGGAGCTCTGACAAACCAGGCTGGCGCTCTGAAGCTTCTGCTGCAGAGACGACAACTGAAACACAAGCAAGGAGAGAAGACTGTTAGCTTTGACAGAACCTCGACGAGCAAACCGAGATTTATTTACAGTCATGCACCTTTTCGTTCTTCCTCTGCAGCTCGGCCTCATAGTTCTTCTTCACCTCCTCCATCTGCTGCAGGTAGATGTTCAGCTCTTCTCTGCACGCCGACAGGCATGACTGCAGCTCTGATATCTGATGGAGACACGCAGCATCTTTGTAGCCATAAAATGTTCTCTTTGTAAATAAAAAATGAAAAACGAGAAACGCGTTGAATTAATTCACAGGATTCTCAGGACTTTTCGACTCTTATCTGTCTTGGAATCAAACATTTTTTCATCAAACTGGATCATGGACTTTTTAGCTGGAAGGTGCTAACCTGCCTAGCCTACTGATCTCTATTTATTCACTGGATTGCTGAAAAAAGCGAAGCCACCATCCGCCATATTGGTACTCCCCACTCCCACAGAGACGCGCAGTAAAAATGCCTCCCTGTGCAGCATCTGGCTGCAGAAACCAGCAGTTTTCTGTCTGCAGGAAGACCTTCCACAGGTCATTTCCCAGTCAGTGGATGAACTAACCAATAAATCCATCTATAGCCGATGGATCCTATAGTTTAGTCTGTAGACTAACATTAGTCTGGCTATCTCAGACTGACTGGAAGACATTGACTGAGTTAGCCCCTGATATTGGGTCTAACGTTAGAAAATAGAAAGCAGATTAAATAGAAATTAATAACTGTGAAATGTTAATGTAGTCATTCTTAAAGCTACAGTGTGTAACTTTTAGCGACATCTAGCGGTCAGACTGCAGCAACATGAACATCTCCCCCCCCACCGCTTCTCCCCCCCAACAGTACGGCGAGCGTTACGGGACAAAATGTCTTCCACGACGTCCGCATCACCTACCTTCTCAAGTGATGAGGTTTGTTTACATAGATAATTTTACAGATAGTATTTCATTAGTCGGTGTAGGGTATAGATTTCATGTAGACTTAAGATAATAAATATACCCGTTATTTTTTCTACATCGTTGTGACATTTTGGCGATCTCGCAATCGCTAGTTTGTTGGCTCTGCGCTGCCGTAGCGCAAAGATGTCAGCCTCCATGGCTGCGAGACCCGCTCCTATGTAATTATAAATAACGAATTCTAAGGCAACGCAAATATTAAGGTTAAGAGGCTGAGCTCGTAGATGATGATAAATAACATAGTTATGTATAATATATTACATTTCTGACTGTATATCCCTGAAATTATTACACACTGTAGCTTTAATTAACTGGATGATGATGTCGTTTTTGTTGTATTTCTTATTTGAAAAAGTTATGTGCTGAAATATATGGCATGATTAAAAAAAAAAAAAAACATCAAACATTTTTAAAGGCTAATGCACAGATACAGCATAAAGTATATGCCATCATGCATGCACAATTTCCAAATAGACCTGTACTTGTTATTTAGTCTTGATGTAAAATTTTGAAATTCTATGTAATGTGTTAAAACAACAATAATATCATCAATACATGTACCGTAAATCCTCTAATATTGGCCTGTATTCCATTAGTGGCCGGGTCTCTAATAATGGCCAGACTCTTCTACAGGCTGTAATTAGAACCAACGATGTTTCTGGGCAGTCCTCAACAACTTTTGATAGTAACATACAAGTACCACAGGGGGGCAGTGTTTGCTAACGAATCCAAGCCATTAGAATGGGAAGTCCCATCCTTACACAATCGTTCTGATCTGAAAGACATGTGATTACGGTAGGTCTGGTGGTAAAACGTAGGGGTGTGGGAAATAATCGTTTTGGCGATATATCGTGATATTCGGCTGCCCAATATAATATCGATCTTTCACTTCTTAGTATCGATTTTCCCAAAAAAAAAAAAAAATTGTTACATAAAACATTGATGGGAAAATGGGCTACCTCTGCACCCCCACTCTAGCAGAAAGCGCTGTGGAGCCCTTTAACTGTGCGTGCAGCACCAAATCTGTATTTGAGGCAGTCACAGTGGAAGAAAACCCCAAACAACATGGATAATAATACCTAATCAATATTTTCTGATGAAAATATCCAGCACTTGCTGTTTTATCTCATCATTTGATTTTGATAGCTGAGGAAAATATGGCAATATATAGTGATACTGCAATATCGTGATAATATCGTATCGTGACCCAAGTATCGCCACATGTATCGAATCGCAACACTCATGCCAATACTCACCTCTAGTAAAATGACAGAATGTCGTTTGCTTCGTTGTTCTGAATTTCCCTTGAAACATACAATACTGCTAGCCTACTTCCACTTAGCCTGCCTCAAATAAAATTTGGCTGTGATGAACCGTTTCCATCACCTTTTTTTTTTTTCCATTCTGGGTCTTTTTTTGTTTTTTCATTTTGCCGTGCAGAAAAATTGCAGCTACTGGAAGATGTCTGAATAATGTTCCGTATATCGTTACGGTAACTGTACTTTTTCAATAAATTATCCTAGTATTTTATAGCTTCAAAGAGACACAAAATCTGTTTTTTATTCATTCCACTGGTAATCTGTTTTGATCAAATAGAAATAAAAGCCTGCATCTAATTCTGGCCTCCTTCCAATAAAGGCCAGGACCAAGATGTACCAGAGTGAAATAAAGGCCCCGCCCTATATTAGAGGATTTACGGTATATTATATGTACATCATCATATTTATGGAGCTATTGGTCTCAATTTTCTCGATTCATACATGCACAGTACAAGCTCAACACACTCACAGCACGATTTACTCGATCATACAAGATCCACACATGCACAGCACCTGATTCGCCAAGTATTTATGGTCTATAAACAATCAGAAATTAAATGACAAAGTATTAGTGCTCTTTTAAACTTCAGTGCATTTGTGTGTGGATTTTTGAGACTTCCAATTTGCCTCGATACACAAATGCATTTTTTTTTAAACGGGATGGTTTGCAAACAATCACAGAGCTCCCTTGTATAAGCCAATCACAAGAAAGTAATCCACGTGGGATGACTATTTCCTCCGCTGTGGTCTGGTTTTCCTGTCAGTACAGCATACCCCATCAGGCCAGCATACCTTTAGTAATAGGCATTACATAGTTTCCTCTGTCTCCGCTCTCCTTACAGCCAAGAATGCCGTTTTATTTCGAGATTTAGTCAGGTTTTTGTCGTAGTTTGTGCATAAAATAACAAAAATCATTCGCTAGGTCCGTTACACACATTAGGTTTAAAAACATACATTGCATGTCCGTTAGATGCGGATAAAGAATGATCGGCATTATTTCACAGAGAATTCAATATTTAAAGGGAGAATGTGCAGAATCGTACCTTAGAAAAGTTTTATCTACTAATTTAGCAAAAACGAAACCTAAAAATAAATAAAAGTAAGCTAATCCGACATTCCGCTCCCAATAGAAACGTTAACGTGAAATAATACGATGCAGATTCAATGCCCTGGATCTAAAAAATAAAAATATATACAAAATTAAAAAAAAAAAAATTTAAAAATAGGAAAAAAAATCTGAGAAAACAACAAAGTTACTCTCAGGTTTTTCAAACTATATATATTTTTTTCAAAATGTCCATGTTTTTTGGAAGGTCTAAATAAATAAATGTTTAAAGAGGGTTTACGGACGTCTCCCAAACCTTGGTGGAAGACTGGGAGGCCTGGTCCTGGAAGCTCTCCAACATCTCCTGGTTGCGTCTGACCTCAGCTTGCTTCTCCTGAAATGATGTGAAATAATAATTCATCAGTTGATTATTGCCTCTGTCCTGTCAGCCCCCCCCCCCCCCCCCCCCCCCCCCACCTGTGTGAGCTGATCTACAGAGGTCTGCAGCAGGCGAGCTGCTTTCTGCGCCTCCTCTCGCTCCTTTTCAACAGAACCCAGCTGCTTCTCCACCTCCAGCATCTGAATGCGGGTCTCCTCCAGAGTCCGCTGGAGCTGCAGGGGAGCCAGAAAAAACGGTCAGTCCAGCTGGCCTTGCTGCTAAATAAGCTGCGCTGGGAGTTTAGAGCACCATGTCTGTCCTCTGCTGTTGCTCAGCCAGCTGGTTATGGTGGGACTGTTTCCACTGCTCCAGAGACTGCTGGTACTCTCTCTGCTTCTTGGACATCAGGGCTTGGTACTGCTGGACGCTGCTGCTCTTCTCCTGTAATCACAGACAAGAGTTGGTCTCAGCAGGTGGTCTGACAAAGTTCCCAAAAATTAAATAAAAAAATATGCAAAAGCTCTAAAAGAATTTAAAAAAAAGTAAATTTGAAAAATTATTAGCGTAATTTTCGGACTATAAGCCGCAACTTTTTCCCCATTTTTCAACCTTGCGGCTTATATAACAACGCGGCTTATCTATGGACTTTTACACAGGGTTCCCACGGGTCCTTAAAAAGTCTTAAAGGAATAGTACACCCAAAACATGATTAGCCTTCATTTTCTACTCACCCCCATGCTGAACAACACTCTGGAGTACTTTTTTGATATCTCAAATGCATCTGGAGATCTGGGAGGCTTCTTGCTGTCTGCTGACATTCAAATAATGGAGGTCTATGGCTCCCGAGGCAGAAAGGTCCATAAAAGTCCACAAAAAACGTGTCAATATTCCTCCATACTGCTCGTCCAATGTATTCCAAGTGTCCTGAGTGGGTAGCGTCCAGAATTTACTCGAAACAAAGTCATTTAGAATGTTTTTAGAGCATAAACAGTAGTGTATAGGATTTCCTGAAAGCGCGTTCACGAGTCTACGGAAACCGCGGCAGACCAAAACAGATGAAAGTGCGCATTCAGCTCGGCAAAGAACTCATGCTCTTCCTCAACACTGAAGTCCTCAGACATTTTTCTTTCGTTGTTTCTTTCTTTGCACAGGTAAACAGCACATTTCTTCTTCTACGCTTGCATTATCGGCAGAGCAGACGCTGAATGCGCACTTTCATCTGGTTTGGTCTGCCGGCTTCCGTAGCGTCCTGAACGCGCTGGCGCGCGCTTTCAGGAAGTCCTATACACTACTGTTTATGCTCTAAAAACATTCTAAATGACTTCGTTTCGAGTAAATTCTGGACGCTACCCACTCAGGACACTTGGAATACATTGGACGAGCAGTATGGAGGAATATTGACACGTTTTTGTGGACTTTTATGGACCTTTCTGCCTCGGGCGCCATAGACCTCCATTATTTGAATGTCAGCAGACAGCAAGAAGCCTCCCAGATCTCCAGATGCATTTGAGATATCAAAAAAGTACTCCAGAGTGTTGTTCAGCATGGGGGTGAGTAGAAAATGAAGGCTAATCATGTTTTGGGTGTACTATTCCTTTAAAAGGCATTGAATTCTTCATAATAAAACTAAGGCCTTAATTGGTATTAAAATGTCTTAAATCTTTCGTAGGTCTTATTTTTTAAAACATCATAAATAGAATTATTTTTATTATGATTTATTTTGTAATCTAATTAAAACGTTAAGATTGACTTTTTTTTTTTTATTTAAAAAAATATCGTCTCGCCATTATTGGTTCCGTCTCGATAGCGGAACCAGAGATGGCAAAAGTACTCACTTTCCGTACTTGAGTAAAAGTACAGATACTTGTGTTAAAAAATACTCTGGTAAAAGTGGAAGTACTGATTGAACTTCTTTACTCAAGTAAAAGTAACAAAGTACAGGCTTGTAAATTTACTTAAAGTATAAAAGTAGAAACCACTTTTTTCATGCCGTTGCCTACATTTTAAATGGATGTCTGCCAATAGGACTAGATCTCCGTTGTGTTCATTTTCAATCATCTCGTCGTCCATGCTACTATGCTAACGCCACCGCCACCAAGCTGCAATGATTTGCCACCAATGAATACCGCCGAATCTGTCGATTCATCTTGTAGTGGTGCGTCAAATGCAACGTAGATTCCCATCCAATTAGATTGAATTTGGTATTGATGACGTGAAAAATAATAACGGTAACTCCATTGAAATGATTCAAAACTAAAGTTATGAGCCAATTTTTAAACATGTAAGGAGTAGAAGTAAAAAGTCGCCATAAAAATAAGTAGTAAAGTAAAGTAAAAATATCAGAAAAATCTACTTGAGTACAGTAACGAAGTATTTGTACTTCGTTACTTCCCATCTCTGAGCGGAACCAATAAAGCGTTGTTGCTGGGGGGACATTTGGGAGATGCTCCATTAACTTTTTGTCTGGAAAATCTGAGCAAGTGTAAATGTAACCAAAATAGTCTCCAGCCAAGAGTTTCCTCCATGGCTAAAACCAGGGAACATACATGAGGCTCAGTGGATTTAGTGCAAGAAGTCATTCAAGCTCAGAACGATGGGAATTAAGGCAGTGGAGTCGCACATGCGAAGCACGAAACACAAAGCGTCAAAATGGAGTTACGGAGAAACAGCCGGTATTTCTCAGTTTAGTTCCACCCTTGTCTCTGCAACGCCTCCACTTATCACCAAATCAAACATACTAAGAAAACCATACAAAGAAAAATAGCTGCTAAAAAGACTTAGCACTGGTTATGTTGGGGCTTTAAAACTCATTTGTTTTGTTCCCTGCTAAAACAACGTTTGTGAATTCAGGTAAATAATTGTTCAAATATATCTGTCATTTGTGTGTTTTTAGCTTTCTTCCTGTATGGGAAGCTTTTCAACATTTGAAACATTAGTGCAGTGGTTTATGTTAAAATAAACCTTTGGGTTAAGTTGGAGCAAGCAGGTTTTTCTTGTGTTTCTTGTGAATTTGGTCTTAGATTTTTATTTCAAGTGGCATTAAGAAGTCTTTAAAAGTCTTGAATTTAACTTGCCTTATGCTGTAGGAACCCTGTTTACAGCTAACGGCCACTAGGGTAATACCTAAATCTATGGATTTTACCGTCCACCATGTTGACGTCACATTTGCTTCAACACACAAGTACGTTAGCCGCGCGCGCAGGAATGCGGAGGTCCTCCGGAAGCAGACTCTACCGCGAGTGGAACGACAGCGAGAAAGACGGACTTTGCGAGCTCAAGACAGTTTGTGTTAAAGGAATAGTACACCCAAAACATGATTAGCCTTCATTTTCTACTCCCCCCCATGCTGAATAACACTCTGGAGTACTTTTTTGATATCTCAAATGCATCTGGAGATCTGGGAGGCTTCTTGCTGTCTGCTGACATTCAAATAATGGAGGTCTATGGCGCCCGAGGCAGAAAGGTCCATAAAAGTCCACAAAAAACGTGTCAATATTCCTCCATACTGCTCGTCCAATGCATTCCAAGTGTCCTGAGTGGGTAGCATCCAGAATTTACTCGAAACAAAGTCATTTAGAATGTTTTTAGAGCATAAACAGTAGTGTATAGGATTTCCTAAAAGCGCGCTCACGAGTCTACGGAAACCGCGGCAGACCAAACCAGATGAAAGTGCGCATTCAGCTCGGCAAAGAACTCATGCTCTTCCTCAACACTGAAGTCCTCAGACATTTTTCTTTTGTTGTTTCTTTCTTTGCACAGGTAAACAGCACATTTCTTCTTCTACGCTTGCATTATCGGCAGAGCAGACGCTGAATGCGCACTTTCATCTGGTTTGGTCTGCCGCGGTTTCCATAGACTCGTGAACTCGCAGGCTCCAGAGTGTTGTTCAGCATGGGGGTGAGTAGAAAATGAAGGCTAATCATGTTTTGGGTGTACTATTCCTTTAAACATAAAAAACCTGCAGCTTATAGTCCGGTGTGGCTAATAGTCCGAAAATTACTCTCTTTGTTTGCAACAATAATGGACTAAAATGGACTCCGTATATGGAGGTACCTGCAGCTCTTTTTCCAGCTCGGTGTTCCTCAGGGCAGCCAGGCTGTAGGCTGAGCTTTTCTCCTGCAGCTGTTTCTCTAGTGCTGCAGCTCGAGCACTTTTCCTTTTTAACTGACATAAAACAAGAAAAGCAAATAAAAGAACAATTAAGGTTCCCATCCCTGCACTTGTTTCAGTGAAACAGAGCAGACAGCAGGAACAGGAGGCAGACAGGCACCTCTTTGTTAGCGTCTGTGGCTTGGTTGACTCGGTCCAGCAGCTCTGTGTGGAGGTTCTGGTAGTGCGACGCTCTCTGAGCCATCAGGGAGGAGATCTCCTCCTGGGCTCGGCTCAGGCGCTCCTGAAGCCGCTCGTTCAGGCTCTTGTGTTTCAGCCGCTCCGCCTCCTTCACCTGCAGAACCCGCAGCAGCTGCTGGTAGCCTTCGCCTGGCGAGAGAAGTGGAAACACCTTCAGCTTTTCCTTCCAGATCTCTCAATTAGAGCTTTTTTAGCTTTTATCTTCTTCTTTTATTAACTGATTCCTAATATTTAATGTTAACAGTTCACTTGTTCATGTGGATGATGTGATTCATCCATCCAATAAAGAACTTATACAACTTGTACAGAATGAGTCTGTTTCCTTTTAAACAAAAAATTAAAGCCTGGGTGAAAAGTTATGACCAGTTTCACTGCTATTGCTTTTTTTTTGTGTGTTTTTACAGCATTTTACCTTTAAAAGTGAATAAAAGAAATAAATCTTTTACTGCAGTAAAATAATCTCAGTAACCTTTTTATAAATCCAGCCTTATGCTTCCTTAAAGTCGTAGGGAAGCGGCTGTTCCAAATTCTTCCCAGTGGTGCCCGACTTCACACTAGTTATAAAGTGAATGTGATTGGTTGATTATCAAGGGGGCGGGATTGTTGTAGCGGAAGGTTCGCAAGCAAGTTTGGTTGTGGCCGGTTTGTGGGAAGCATCTTGCTAACCAGTTAGCAACTTAGTGCTAGCAGGTTCCCAATGGGAAATTCCATTGGGACCAAGTAGCACTAAATTGGTGACTTAGAAACGACGCTGTCAAGGAACGCTATGGACAGCGGAAACATGCAAGAGGAGGAGAGTTTAGTGTCGGAGGAGGTGGATGAGTCTCCTCTGTCATCCATTTTTTATTTAGAGGAGGAAAGCGGGGACGAAGATGTTGTGGAAGAGGACGCCAGGGCGGCAGAAGCTTGGTTTGGTGTAGAAGGCTTCCAGCCGTACATGTTTGAGCCCTTGCCTCGCAACGCTGCCAGTTCTGTTAGCTCTACGCCTGCCGAAGACACAGACGTCCATCCCAGTGAACACTGGGACGCAACTCAATGGGAAAGGAAAGGTTTCTGATTTCAACTGTTGCGTATATTAGCTGCAACGTATGAATCAAGATAGCCTCGTGAGACCATCCTGATCTCGCGAGCTTTCAAGGTTTCACTCGCAGATCAGTCTGGAGACTCTCCGTTGAAGAAAATTTGGAGCCGTTCACCAAACGAACGTCCAATCAGCGTTGGCTTTGAGGCGGGTTGAGGTGTGACGCAACGAGAAGCGCCACAGTTCGGTCTAAAGAACATGGCGGCTTCAGCCGATGAAACTAGCGTTAGCGTGGCTATCGAGCAAGTTTTATGGGAATTACAGAGTATTTCTTCACTGAAAGAAGAGCAAAACACTGCTCTGGAGGCTTTTCTCAGAGGAAAAGATGTTTTTCTCTTCTCCTGACTGGTTTCAGCAAGAGTTTGATCTATCAATTGGCTCCTCTTCGTCGTCGCTCTGTTAGTACGTCATATGCTTCGTTGATCTGATTGGTTTATTTGGCCCGTCTATCACCAACATAGGCCAATCAGCTAACCAGTATTTTCGCCCCTTCCCAAAATTACTTCAACGGAAGGTTTCCAGATGGATATGTGGAGCAAATCCATCTGGCGGAGTCAGGTTAGAATCAAGATTCTATGACTGAAAACATTTGATTGACAGATGACCGTTGATATATGATTGGCCGAATTTAGGTGTTCAGGCTGACGTAGAACTAACTGGCCTGCAGAAGATAACGAAAAAACCCACAGATTCTAAGACATGATTTTTTTTAAATAGAAATTTTCAAACATTTGGGACAATATGGTCTGATAAAGAAAACATTTATATACATGTTTAAGCCGGAATGATTTGAAATTTAAATAGAATTTCCCTACGACTTCAAGTCCGGACCAAAGCATAAGGTTTCGAGATAGGAAGAGAACTCCGCTACCATAAATAGTCAGTTTTCATGAGGTTCGGCTGCATTAATAAATGGAATCAATGTAAATGGAAGGAGAGATTAAACAGCAACACAAACACGAGTAGGAATTGCTGAAGAGGCGAGCTGACCCACGACGGTTTAGCATCTATGAGGACTTACCTGGCTTCAGCTTCATCAGATGTGCAGCTCCTGAATAGTCCACTGGGGGCAGCATGCATGGACTGGAGCAGAGCGGCCCTGCAGGAGCCTTGATGAACACACAGACATGTCCGTTACCCTCACCTGTTGATTCTAACAGAAACGAATCCTTGAGGATGTTGGTGAGAGGGTTTGAAAGCCTGGCAGACCTCCTGGAGATGCAGCAGAGCCAGCACCTCCTCCAGGCTGGCCAGCTCGGCCTGGCACCGCTGAGCCTCCCTCTGGCTCTGGGCCACCTGCTGCTCCTGGTCACGGGTCAGAACCCGCAGCTCCTCAGCCTCCCTGTGCAGGGACGCCACCTCCCTGGCCTCTACACCTCGTTCTGAGAGCTGCTGCTCCAGCTGGGAGGCTCTGTGCCCCGTCTGATCCACCTGGGCTTGGAGATGAGCAGCAGCAGCCTGGGTCTGTCTCAGCTCCTCCTGCAACCGACTGGATGGAGCAGAAAAACAAAACATGCTGCAGATTCATGGAGCGAATGTGGTTCTAACATCAGTTTCTCTCAAAACCTTTTTCTGATCAGAACAGCGGAGGAGGGAGAGATAACGTGAACCATAAACTGAACACGGGTACAATATGTTGTGAAAAGAAATTAAAACCGTTTTTTTTATTTCTCTATGGCAGACAGTTAGTACCCGACAGTGTGGTTCTGCTCAGCTTTCTCTCGTTCCAACACAGAAAACTTCCTCTCCAGTTCCTCCTTCTCCCTGTCAGACTCAGTCAGACTCTCCTTCAGTTTGGTCTCGCTCTCCATCGCCTTAAAGACACAAAAATAAAAACATTTTACGACCTGAACGGTTAACTTTGGCTTTTAATTAAATAAGATGGTTCTGATGATTCTACCTTTTGCAGTTTAACAGAAACCGTGTTTCTGTAATCTTTGAAAGCTTCTTTGAGTTTCTCTGCATTTTGAAGCGCTTGGTTCCTCTGCTGCTCAGCCCTGCGATGGGAAGATGAAACACGGCGTCAGAGCTCCGCGTCGGGATGGAAACCTGTGGCTGCGTGTGAAATCCTCGCCTCTTTCCCATCGTCGTTCTGCTGTCCAGTTCCTCCCTCAGCATCCTCAGCTCCTCGGTCAGAGTGGCGAGCGCGGCTTCGCTGCAAGCTGCAGCTTCCTGACAACATTCGGCCCTCAGCTCCGCTGCCCTACGAATCACACAGCACGCCACATAAATACAGTAAATACTGAGGAGTCCTTTTGGTAGCTCGCCTATAGAGAGTTAGGAAAACTTTTATTTATCAGGCAGACACCCTGTCTACTTTTAGGCTAGGCTTAAAACTTTCCTTTTTGATAAAGCTTCTAGTTAGAGTGGCTCAGGTTATCCTGAGCTATCTCTATAGTTCTGCTGCTATAGGCTTAGACTGCTGGAGGACATAGGTACCCCTTCTCCTTTCTCTGTTTTCTTCTGTGTTGTGTAATACCACTATATAAATAAAGTAAACTTACACAGACTTGAGGGAGTTTTTTTCAGTAGACGCCTTTATTCAGCTGAGACTACGAAGCGGCGGAGTCAAACAAAACAAATCGGGAGTTATTCATCGTTTTACTGAGGTAATTAACATCCCACGACATGAAACATCACCTACAAAGAGAAATCTAAAGCTACATTTTTGTTTGTTTCAACCAAACAAAGAAAATATTCCAGTCTTGGCTCAAAGGCTACTGTTGCCTTAAAGGAATAGTACACCCAAAACATGATTAGCCTTCATTTTCTACTCACCCCCATGCTGAACAACACTCTGGAGTACTTTTTTGATATCTCAAATGCATCTGGAGATCTGGGAGGCTTCTTGCTGTCTGCTGACATTCAAATAATGGAGGTCTATGGCGCCCGAGGCAGAAAGGTCCATAAAAGTCCACAAAAAACGTGTCAATATTCCTCCATACTGCTCGTCCAATGTATTCCAAGTGTCCTGAGTGGGTAGCGTCCATAATTTACTCGAAACGAAGTCATTTAGAATGTTCTTAGAGCATAAACAGTAGTGTATAGGATTTCCTGAAAGCGCGTTCATGACGCTACGGAAACCGCGGCAGACCAAGCCAGATGAAAGTGCGCATTCAGCTCGCCAAAGAACTCATGCTCTTCCTCAACACTGAAGTCCTCAGACATTTTTCTTTCGTTGTTTCTTTCTTTGCACAGGTAAACAGCACATTTCTTCTTCTACGCTTGCATTATCAGCAGAGCAGACGCTGAATGCGCACTTTCATCTGGTTTGGTCTGCCGGCTTCTGTAGCGTCATGAACGCGCATGTGCGCGCTTTCAGGAAATCCTATACACTACTGTTTATGCTCTAAAAACATTCTAAATGACTTTGTTTAGAGTAAATTCTGGACGCTACCCACTCAGGACACTTGGAATACATTGGACGAGCAGTATGGAGGAATATTGACACGTTTTTTGTGGACTTTTACGGACCTTTCTGTCTCGGTCACCATAGAGTGAGTAGAAAATGAAGGCTAATCATGTTTTGGGTGTACTATTCCTTTAAGAGTTTAAAAGGAATAACTACCGTCTCAAAGATAAGAAGACAGCTTAGGTCTAAAAACGAGCTTCTCATATGTGAACCTCAGTAGAACAGTGAGGGTAAATGCAGTGCGATTTTAAAATGGAAATTTTATAAATATATATATATATATATATATATATATATTTATTTATTTATTTTTTTTTTTATTCAATGTATAACATAGATGCATAAAAACCAGTGTTAAATTCTGTGTAAAGTAATTGATTATAATTAAAAATGTCTTCAGATCTTTTCTGGTTGATGATTTTTAATTTGTTACCCTGACCTAGTGGTTAGAGCAGTGCGTTTGTGCTCTGAGAAGGTTGCAAGTACCCGGTTCAAACTTCACAAACTCTTGCACTCTGGGTCCTTGAGCAAGACCCATAACCCCACACTGCTCCCCGGGCGCCGCACAATGGCAGCCCACTGCTCCCCGAGGGGAGGGGTTACATGCAGAGAGGGAATTTCTCCAACATGAGATCAATAAAGTTCAAATTCTTTCCTTTTTCCTTTCTTTTTTCTAGTCCTTATCTTTATTGTAATGATGTGTTTTGGTTTTTGTGCTCTTTCACACTTGATCTTGTGCTTTTCTTTGCAGTTTCACACGGAGTTTCACACTCGCTCACCTCCATTGCTTTGGTTTTGCTTGCAAATAATGTGCATGTGGAGAACAGTACCCCGTTCATATGGTTTTGTTACAGTACAAATACAAAGAAGGGCTTTATGTACTAATAAATAAATAAAAAGAATAGAGTAGGATGTGCTAGTGTTCTGGAAAAAGAGAAAGCGCCGAGTGATTACAATTTACAAAGACATATGAGACCTTATCCCTTTAAGAAATATCCCTAAGTCATCCAAAAGTAAAGTTTAAAAAACTTTTTAAAAGACCAGATAAAATTATAATTCAAAATGTTATAAAAGAGAAGAAAAAAAAATGAAAATATTTGGAAAAAGATAAAAAAAATTTGAAAAAAAAAAAAAAATTTAATAATTGAAAAGAAATCCTGCCAAAGTACGGAAGCCCAGAGCGGCCGTGTCCCTCTCATACTTTCCATGGTGTTTTTCTTGAGAAAATTTATTTTGTGTTTATTTTCTCATTATCTAAAGAAAGCAGTTTTTTCGTCATAACGAGATGATTGATGTTTGTTAAAACTGATTACATCATTCAATACCACAACAGCAGGAGAGCATTTATAAGTATACGTCATGGCAGCCTAAGTGTGATTCTGTAAATAATCCTGTGTTTAACTTTTTAGTATCAAGACGACGTTGTTGGTTTGATGATTTGCTTCCACTTCTGATTCATCACTAATTAGATCTATGCCTAATTGGCAAGATAATTGTCTCGTTATCTATCTCGAGAAAGCAAAGGAAAAAAAAAAATGAGGACGACCGCTCTCGGCTTCCGTACCAAAACAATAATGATCATTTCAAAATTCTAAATAATCACTGCCAAACCAAAAAGATGAAACTTTAAATCGTATCAAAAACGACCTGCATTATTGCATCAGAGCTTACTTTAGTTCCTCCGTCTGAGTCTCCAGTTCAGCTTCCAGCAGACTGATGTGTTCGCTCATGGCCGCCACGCTGCTGCTAACCCTGACCCTAGACAGGCTGGGACGGACCTGCAGGAATAAAACATCCAACCTCATCAAAGGAACTACTGCTGATATTAACAGTTTGCTTATGTAGCATAGAAATTACTCCTAGATCAGTGCTGCAAAGTCAACGACACATTTCAAGTGATTTTCTACTGAAGGAGCAAATCCTGCAAAGTCAAAGACTGGATGCCATCAGCTGGATTCCTTAGAAACTCTTAAACCAACCTAGATTAACTAAACTTGACTGCATTCTTTGATCATTAGGACCAATCAGTAATGTAGGATCTTTGCTTTGACTCTGCATCAAATTAACTGATTTATTTTCGCTGTAAAGCGCTTTGAGGTGAGATGTGCTCACACCTGCAGGATGGAGACTCCTGCTTCGCACTGCAGAGCGTCCAGGTCACTGATGAGCTGCTCCTCCTCCGTGATCAAGGAGGCGTTCTGCTGGCGCCTGCAGCCCGCTCTCTTCCTGCCAGGAGCAGAGTCCATCCTCACTGCCTGGAGGGAGGGAAGGAGGCAAACAGAGCGGGAAAAAATGATTTCCTTAACCATTACACAATAAAGCTAATAAAGGACGGCCTAACCTTCACCTGAGCTGCATCACAGTAATGAACACATGCAGTGTTCTTCCAGATAGGAAAGGTTGGATGGTTAATTCCCTCTGAAAGTCTAAAGCGCTTTCTGGACAAAGAGATGCTAACTTGGACTCATTTTTTAATTCTGCTGAATCCATCATGAGAGCGTGGAGAGGACGCATTTCTATCGCTATGTACGGACGCCAGCGACGCCATTTTAACTTGTCAACACTGAGATTGGCTGCAGGTAAAGAGAAGGTGACATATGGAAGGTTGTTTGGAAAAAATGCACATTTTAAAACGCAATCTGAAAATGGATATTTGAAAAAAAAAAAATTTAAAATGTAAAAGGTGTAAAAAAAAAAAAAAAAAATCTGTAGAAAAAAAAATGCAAGCATATAAAATTGGTAAATTATCAAACTTTAAAAATAAAGTTGAAAAAAAATAAAACAAAAAAATAGATAAAACACCTTAATACTCTATAACTATCCTTTTTTTCATGCTTTGGATCAATTTATGGTGTTTTCATCATGTTGTCTTGACTGTGTACGTGTTCTATGATGTGCTGTTTTGTGCGGGTATATGTTTATTAACATATTTTTATTTTTTTATATCCATTTGGAAAATTTTATTTAAAAAAAATAGATAAAACACAATAAAACAGCAAAGTTACTCAAAAATTTTTTTGAACATTAACCTTTTCAAAATTGCTTTTTTTTTTTTATTAAAATTTACAAAATGTGTTGTTGTTTTTTTCTTACTTTTATTTACAAAACATTATTTTCTTGCAACAGTATTGGAACAAAATTCACTCTACACCTAGTGCTTAAAAATTGACCTCAGAAATTAAACTCAATTAAAACTTTAAATTTGACATCAAGACAACATGATGAAAACACCATAAATTGATCCAAAGCATGAAAAAAAAGGATAGTTTTACAGAGTATTAAGCTGTTTTATCTTTTTTTTTTTTTTTTTTTTTCCAACTTTATTTTAAAAGTTTGATAATTTACCGATTTTATACACTTGCATTTTTTTTTCTACTGTTTTTATTTTATTTTTTTTTTTTACAGCTTTTGCAATTTCAAATTTCAATTTTCAGATTGCGTTTTAAAATTTGCCTTCCATATATCACCTTGTCTTTACCTGCAGCCAATCTCAGTGTTGACCAGTGAAAATGGCGTCGCTGGCGTCCGTACAGAGCCATAGAAATGCGTCCTCTCCACTCTCTCATGATGGATTCAGCAGAACTAAAAGTCCAAGATTATTTGCCAACCATAAGAAAAATACCTCTAAGAACCTTAAAATGTTATTATTATTATTTTACATGCAAGTTCAAATTATAACCCAAATTTGACCCAATCTGTGAATATTTTAAGGTTCTTAGAGGTATTTTTCTTATGGTTGGCAAATAATCCTAAAATATTCCAGTGTGACTCTCAGCAACAGATCTGGTGCTGCGCTGCACAGCTAAAGGGCTCCACAGCGCCACCTGCCAGGGAGGCGGTGCAGACGTAGCCCATTTCCCCTCATTGTTTTAGGTCAAATGTTTTTTTTTTTTTTTTAAAGCGATACTAGATACTGAAAAATCGATATTATATCGGACAGCTGAATCGATTTTTTCCCCACACACCTAGTCATGGAGACACCTCTACGGAAGAGGATTAGGGCCAGTGGAAAAAAAAAAGTTAACTGATTTTTAAATTTTATTTCAGTTTAGTATGGGAAAAAAGTCAGAATTCTGACTTTAATCTCAGAATTCTGAGAAAAAAGTCAGAATTCTGAAAAAAAAGTCAGAATTCTGAAAAAAAAGTCAGAATTCTGAGAAAAAAGTCAGAATTCTGAAAAAAAGTCAGAATTCTGAGAAAAAAGTCAGAATTCTGAAAAAAAGTCAGAATTCTCAAAAAAAAAAGTCAGAATTCTCAAAGAAAAAAAGTCAGAATTCTCAAAAAAAAAAAGTCAGAATTCTCCAAAAAAAAAAGTCAGAATTCTCAAAAAAAAGAGTCAGAATTCTGAGAAAAAAAGAGTCAGAATTCTGAGAAAAAAAGTCAGAATTCTGAGAAAAAAGTCAGAATTCTCAAAAAAAAAAAGTCAGAATTCTCAAAGAAAAAAAGTCAGAATTCTCAAAAAAAAAAAGTCAGAATTCTCCAAAAAAAAAAGTCAGAATTCTCAAAAAAAAGAGTCAGAATTCTGAGAAAAAAAGAGTCTGAATTCTGAGAAAAAAGTCAGAATTCTGAAAAAAAGTCAGAATTCTGAAAAAAAAGTCAGAATTCTCCAAAAAAAAAAAGTCAGAATTCTCAAAAAAAAGAGTCAGAATTCTCAAAAAAAAGAGTCAGAATTCTGAGAAAAAAAGAGTCTGAATTCTGAGAAAAAAAGAGTCTGAATTCTGAGAAAAAAGTCAGAATTCTGAAAAAAAGTCAGAATTCTCAAAAAAAAAAGTCAGAATTCTCAAAGAAAAAAAGTCAGAATTCTCAAAAAAAAAAAGTCAGAATTCTCCAAAAAAAAAAGTCAGAATTCTCAAAAAAAAGAGTCAGAATTCTGAGAAAAAAAGAGTCTGAATTCTGAGAAAAAAGTCAGAATTCTGAAAAAAAGTCAGAATTCTGAAAAAAAAAGTCAGAATTCTGAGAAAAAAAGTCAGAATTCTGAAAAAAAAGTCAGAATTCTCCAAAAAAAAAAAAGTCAGAATTCTCAAAAAAAAAGTCAGAATTCTAAAAAAAAAAAAAAGTCAGAATTCTCAAAAAAAAAAGTCAGAATTCTCAAAAAAAAAGTCAGAATTCTGAGAAAAAAGTCAGAATTCTGAGAAAAAAAGTCAGAATTCTGAGAAAAAAGTCAGAATTCTGAGAAAAAAAGTCAGAATTCTGAGAAAAAAAGTCAGAATTCTGAGAAAAAAAGTCAGAATTCTGACTTTTTCCTCAGAATTCTGACTTTTTTCCCATGTTATACTGAAATAAAATTTAAAAATCTGTTAACTTTTCTTTTTTTTTTCAGTGGCCCTAATCCTCTTCCGTACACCTCAACACAAACTAGACCATAAAAAATTGGATGTTAAAAATTCAAAGTCAACCTATTTAACTCTAAATAGAGTATTTACATCTATACTGAAAGTCAATCTGCGTTGGAATTAATAATCAGTGAAAAATTAACAGACCAGCAGTGTAACCTTAACTCTATATGGTGTCGATGATCCACCCGTCTCTGAGAGATTTTTGGGATTTTGACATTAAAATGACTTAAATTAACTCTGAAAAGTTTAAAGTGGCTTTAGAGAAAGTTTTCCACTCATTTTGAGTGGGACCAAAGGTTATCTGAAACAGAGTTATATGCAACTCTGTAGGTCTTAGAGAAAAAGTCGCTCATATTCAGAATTCAAACGTCTGAAAGTTCTTTAAATGTGAAATGATTCCATCCTGTTCAATAAATGATCAGTGTTTTTAATTCAGAGTAATTTTCATGTGAATGTGCTTTACTGGAGGCATCCATGTTTGTCAAAGAACACTACTGCCACCTACTGGTTTGTGACGTCACGGTGCGGTATCGGCTGTTGATCAAGTCCCAGTGCTGTATCTGGTGTTTGTCACAACGCGCTATTATCCAAGTCATCTTGAAAACATTCTTCTTCCAAATGTTGGCTACATATTAGGGGTTTTTTCTCTGGCCAGAAGTTCGATGGCAAATCCTCCCTCTTCAAGTTGGCGATCCAACGACCAACCCGTCCGTGGAGGATCAGGAATCAGAAAGGTGGAATAACTCTTTTTTTTCCCACTTTTACCCGATGTATTCCAGCATCCAGCTGCCATGCACGTGGGCATTGTCAGTTTCACTCTTTCTATCCTTCTAAGGCTAGGCTTAAAACTTTCCTTTTTGATAAAGCTTCTAGTTAGAGTGGCTCAGGTTATCCTAATCTATCTCTATAGTTACGCTGCTATAGGCTTAAACTGCTGGAGGACATAGGGAACTTTTTTTCATCATTCATTAGATGTTGGTGATCGGCCTGTTTTTCAGTGTAAAATATCTGGTGAACTGTAAAGTGCCTTGTGATGACATGTGTTGTGAATTGGTGTTATAGAAATAAACTGAAAAAAATTGAAACGTCTGGTTTTTTTTTTTTTATCTACGAGGTAGAAATGTCTCCAGGTTTCATTTCATAAATCTGGTCACCTTACCTTAACCCCCCCCCCCCATTTTTCTAGTTATTTTTTTTTTTTTTTTTTTTATTTATCCATCTTCTTTTATTTATTTATCTTACTCTATTTTTACTTTGGGTTATATCCATTTTATTTTCATATCAACTTATTCCAGATTTTTTATTGCACATTTGGATACTGAAAATAAAATCAACCTTGTTTAAAAAAAGGTTTATTTTCAAAGCAATTAAAGCTACAGGTCTTTGGGTTTTATCTCTCAGCTTTTTAATGATCCTGATTTTTTTAAAATGCTCAGAAAGGCATCAGTTTTTTTAAGCGTTGCAGCAGATTCTCAAATATATTTACTTTCTGGACTTTAACTGAGTCTTTCTACCATCTCAATATAACAAATATAACAATATAAACAAACCTCAAAAGCTTTAAATCAGTTTTAAAAGTTTACTCACCTTAGTTTTTGTCCCGCAGTCTAACTGTAGTTCATATCAGATTAACTCTTTCATATTTGGTCCTAATTAAAAGATTTAAAGTTGTCCTAACCTTCTGACTACCAGGAAAAAAAAATGTTGTCCAATCACCATTTTTTTTAAATTCCACAATCTTTGTAAGGTAATTAGAATAAGGAAAAATTTTTTTTGTGAAAATAAGTTTTTATTTTTGAAATATTATGCGTCCTCTACAGTGGACATCAGAACGCCATACATTCGAAATTGAACCTTGATGGCAACCAGTTAGTCCCAAAGAAAATAACCAAAAATCAATATAAGAATGAATTTTTCATTGACAACACTGTCCATCATCACAGTTGTTTTTCTTTTATGTGCTTAACTGCTATGATACTTTAAAAAGCAATTCCCCTTCTTGGAAACGCAAAGGAACACATTGCACTTTGTGCACATCACATATGTTTTGCTGGTGCAGCCAGATCTTCGACACCTTGACGCATGTGTTTCGTTCACCATCTCTGGAAGATGGATGTCACCGTAGTGTCTCAGAGCTGCATTTGGCTGTGGTTTCCACTTTTGACGTGGAGGAGTGAAGTCATCTTCACTGTCACTTCCAATACCTGCTTGGGCCTGAGAAATCAACTCCTCACCAAGGAGCAGTTTGAAGTTGAGAAACTTCAGTGGTTTCTTCCCCAAAAACTGGCAGTCACTCTTATACTGAAGCCATGAGTTGGTGATTGCCAGGTAAAACAAGTGGATGCACTGTCCATTTCCAAGTGCGAGAAGCCATTCTGTAGAAACTCAACATTCGGTCAACCAAATCCACGCCACCCATGTTGGTGTTTTACTCAGCAATTGCCAGTGGCCTTGACACCTGGACAAATCTTGTCTTTCTTGGACCATCTTCTGCGTCACCTTCAATCCAGTTGGATATGGTTTGCCGGGTATGTACTGGCGCACTGGGCATCAACCAGTAAATGGAACCATTTTTTCATCAATGCACAATTTCGCTGTTTTGGAGCTCTCTGAATTAACTTCCTCTTCTTCTGCCTGAAACAGTGCATCTTCACTTTCTTTATCAGACAACTCTATATTTGAGTCTCCATCAATAATCCACAGTAAAATTCTCTCTGGATCTGAGAACGACTCCCGTTCTTGTCATTTAAAAAATCAACAGAAAAAACAGAGCAAAACTGAGGAAGTAAATACAAATGTCCACTGTAGAGGACAATTTTTCAACTTTTTAATTCTGCTATAAAATACAGTGAAAATACTTTATAAAATGTTTCAATGTGTTGGTAAGAGACTTATTTAGAATATGCCAACAAAATTTTAAACCAAAATTTGCACAATAAAAAGTATTAGGCACTTACTTTTTCTCTTCCCATTAAACCTGCTTGTACTGATGGCTGCCATTTTCTGAATGAGGTAAAGAAAGGTATAAAAGCCCCACCCCCTCACATTTGGTATCATTGAAAAGCCCTAAATGTCCTCTGTAGATACCAAAAGTAATTAATTCAGTAGTATGCAGTGGATGGGAGATATTCAAGTTTACAAATGTCCTCTGCAGAGGACAAATTTGAAGTACTGGTAGTCAGGAGGTTAAAGTAAACTAGGCTAACAGAAACAGAGGAGCTCTAAACAACAGGTGGTTAGCTAGTAAACATTAGCCTTGTTTTTATGATAAAATGATTAAATTCAACATCAAGCAGAATTTCTATTCAATTAAACTTTTACCTTCAATGTCCGGACAATAAGAATCTCTAAACATCGAGCTCTGATCAATATTTCAACAAATCTTCGAGGTGTCTGGAAACTGAGGAGAACGGTTTATAATTTTAGATCCGCCCACATGCCAACAACCTCCCTTCTGATTGGATAAACGAGGCCAAGGCGAGAGGTGATTGGCCGAAATGTTTTGTGTCCGGGAACAGCGGCGCGTGTTGGTTCGAAGGGTCGAGTCGTTTTCCCTTCGCCGTCAGTTAAGTGGAATTAAGGAGGAGTAAAAACCTACGAAGCGGATTATTGCCACTGAAAAAATAGTTTTCAGGTTCGGGTCTGAACTATGGAGGACCAACTCTGCCATATTTAAAAATAAATACAGAAATAAATGCTCAAAAAATAAATAAGCGTACAATTAATTGCTCCCAAAAATACAATATACAAATAAATGTAGGTAGAAATTAAATTATAGAATGAGACATGAATGTATACAACTCTTAATTAGCTTCATTTATTCACCTTTGTAATAATTACCTTATTTATTGTCCCTTATAATTGTAAACTTTACTTATTTTATTAAATATTTATGTGCATGAGATATTTTTGTTTTATTCTTCCTTTGTATTTTTTCACCCAATTTCTTCCATGCTATTTATTTCTGTCTGTGGTTTTTTACATTTCTGCCTTATTATGCAGATGAGGAGGGGTGTGTCTTAGTATTGTATCTGTTATCTTATATCCGTTGGTTGCAGGTGATGAAGCAGACTGAAGATGTTTTATTGTTGCCTCCCTTTTATCTCCTCTTTCTTTCATCTTTTCTCCTTTTTTCTGTTTTTCCTTTCCTGTTCTACTTACATTGGAGTGTCCATATAATCTGTAATACTCCCTGCATAATTATAATAAAGCAATTTATAAGCATAAATCAAGCAGAACACTATGATGACAGCCATACTGCTTCACTTGTCAAAGTAAAATCTGTTGGGCTCTTTTTGGCATCAAGACAATTATTCTTATTGTCACATCGCCAGACAGGACACTGTTAAACAAAAAAAACAAAAAAAAAAATGCTTTCTATGATCTAAAATATCTTTAACAAGTGTTAATGGTTAAAAAATAAAATAAATTGTATTAATTTTTATAAAAATAAAAATTAGAAATCTGGAATTAAATATTAATATAAATGATGCAATTTCTGTATCTGAAACTCAATCTGCAGAATTACGGACAATTTTCCATCCATCCATCCATCTTCTTCCTCTTATCCGGGGTCGGGTCGCGGGGGTAGCAGCTTCAGTAGGGAGGCCCAGACCTCCCTCTCCCCAGCCACTTGGTCCAGCTCCTTCGGGGGAATCCAAGGCGTTCCCAGGCCAGCAGAGAAACATAGTCCCTCCAGCGTGTCCTAGGTCTCCCCCCGGTGGGACGTGCCTGGAACACCTCACCAGGGAGACATCCTAACCAGATGCCTGAGCCACCTCAACTGGCTCCTCTCGATGTGGAGGAGCAGAGGCTGTACTCTGAGTCCTCCCCAGATGACTGAGCTCCTCCCCCTATCTCTAAGGGAGAGCTCAGACACACTACGGAGAAAACTAATTTCAGCCGCTTATATCCAGGATCTCGTTCTTTCGGTCATGACCATAGATGAGGGTAGGAACGTAGATCGACCGGTAAATCCAGAGCTTTGCTTTTTGGCTCAGCTCTCTCTTCACCACAACAGATATGCTGCTATAGGCTTAGACTGCTGGAGGACATAGGGAACTTTTTTTCATCATTCATTAGATGTTGGAGATCGGCCTGTTTTTCAGTGTAAAATATCTGGTGAACTGTAAAGTGCCTTGTGATGATGACATGAGTTGTGAATTGGTGTTATGGAAATAAACTGAAAAAAATTGAAACGTCTGTTTTTTGTTTTGTTTTTTATCTACGAGGTAGAAATGTCTCCAGATTTCATTTCATAAATCTGGTCACGTACAGCGCACGCTTCACAGCAGACGCCGCACCAATCCACCTGTCGATTTCCCGCTCCATCTTCCCCTCATTCATCAACAAGACCCCAAGATACTTAAACTCCTCCAATAGGGGCAGCACATCCTCCCCAACCCGGAGAAGGCACTCTACCCTTTTGCGGCTTAAGACCATGGTCTCGGATTTGGAGCCACTGATCCTCATCCTGGCCGCTTCACACTGAAAATCAATCTGTAAAGGACAGTTTCACCCCTGTAATTCATCATCTAACAATCCCAAGTTCTACATATGACCTATTTAATGATTCAAGGAGACGGAAGCAGAGATACTGGGTCAGAATTCTTATTTGCAGCTTTACCGTACAAATAAACAGTTTAACAATATATATTGCGTATATATTTAAATATTTTAAAAATTAGTTAAGAGTTGATACATACAAGTTTTGAAATTAAAAGTTCCATCATAAATAAATAACTTTCAGTAAATGTATGTCGTTTGTGTACGTTGGTTAAAAAGCTCATTAAAATGTAAGGAGGAACCTGTTTTTTGTTCCACATGTCACGTTGTTGCCCATGGGAAGATTGATTGACGCAATTCTTTTTTTTTTTTTTTGCAACTGTTTCTTCAAGAAATTTCACCAGAAAGCTTTAAGACTGGTTTTCTGAGAAAAGCTGTATACAGGTGCTGGTCATAAAATTAGAATATCATGAAAAAGTAGATTGATTTCAGTAATTCCATTTAAAAAGTGAAACTTGTATATTATATTCATACATTACATACAAACTCATATATTTCAGATGTTTATTTTGTTTAATTTTGATGATTACAAATGACAACAAATGAAAATCTCAAATTCATCATATCAGAAAATTAGAATATTACTGAAGACCAATAAAAACAAAGGATTTATAGAAATGTTGGCCAACTGAAAAGTATGAACATGAAAAGTATGAGCATGTACAGCACTCAGTATTTAGTTGGGCCTCCTTTGGCCTGTATTACTGCAGCAATGCGGCGTGGCATGGAGTCGATCAGTCTGTGGCACTGCTCAGGTGTTATGATAGCCCAGGTTGCTCTAATAGTGGCTTTTAGCTCTTCTGAATTGTTGGGTCTGGTGTATTGCATCTTCTTCTTCACAATACCCCATAGATTTTCTATGGGGTTAAGGTCAGGAGAGTTTGCTGGCCAATTAAGACCAGGGATACCATGGTCCTTCAACCAGGTACTGGTAGCTTTGGCACTGTGTGCAGGTGCCAAGTCCTGTTGGAAAATGAAATCTGCATCTCCAAAAAGTTGGTCAGCTGCAGGAAGCATGAAGTGCTCTAAAACTTCCTGGTATGTGGCTGCGTTGACCCTGGACCTCAGAAAACACAATGGACCAACACCAGCAGATGACATGGCACCCCAAACCATCACTGACTGTGGAAACTTTACACTGGACTTCAAGCAACGTGGATGAAGTGCCTCTCTTCTTTTCCTCCAGACTCTGGGACCTTGATTTCCAAAGGAAATGCAAAATTTACTTTCATCAGAGAACATGACTTTGGACCACTCACCAGCAGTCCAGTCCTGTTTCTCTTTAGCCCAGGCAAGACGCTTCTGACGCTGTCTGTGGTTCAAGAGTGGCTTGACACAAGGAATGCGACAGCAGAAACCCATGTCTTTCATACGTCTGTGTGTGGTGGTTCTTGAAGCACTCACTCCAGCTGCAGTCCACTCTTTATGAATCTCCCCCACATTTTTGAAGGGGTTTTGTTTCACAATCCTCTCCAGGGTGCGGTTATCTCTCTTGCTTGTACACTTTTTTCGACCACATCTTTTCCTTCCCTTCGCCTCTCTATTAATGTGCTTGGACACTGAGCTCTGTGAACAGCCAGCCTCTTTAGCGATGACCTTTTGTGTCTTGCCCTCCTTGTGCAAGGTGTCGATGGTCGTCTTTTGGACAACTGTCAAGTCAGCAGTCTTCCCCATGATTGTGTAGCCTATAGAACTAGACTGAAAGACCATTTAAAGGCTTTTGCAGGTGGTTTGAGTTAATTAGCTGATTAGAGTGTGGCACCAGGGGCCATCAATTTTGAACCTTTTCACAATATTCTAATTTTCTGATATGATGAATTTGAGATTTTCATTTGTTGTCATTTGTAATCATCAAAATTAAACAAAATAAACATCTGAAATATACGAGTTTGTATGTAATGTATGAATATAATATACAAGTTTCACTTTTTAAATGGAATTACTGAAATCAATCTACTTTTTCATGATATTCTAATTTTATGACCAGCACCTGTAAGTTATCTTTATTCCTCCTGAGTTTATGCAGCCAATGAGGTACAACTTTTTTTTACTTGGATTTATTCGTGTAAACCTTTATATTTGGGTTTCTGTTTCCCTCTTTAGTTCTGGCGGCATTTTTGGGGGCTTTATAAAACGTGTCCACAATAAATGGCTGTTAAACCAAAAGGACGACGTTGAGCCTTGATTATCTTGAGAGGAGTAACATATTGTGATTTCTGGATTTTATTTTTTAGACTATGTGGACATGCACCTAACCATGGAAATTTCACACCCCTACATTATTTCTAAATGGAAGAAGTTGCAAAATAGCAGGGCGTTCAAATACTTATTTTCCTCATTGTATATGACCTTATACGGTGGCCCTGAAGTGCAAACTGCAACTACAAATCTAAAAGCGCAACTACATTAAGAAAAACAAAACTACATAAAGCAAAGCGCAACTACATTAAGAAAAACACAATTACATTAACCTACCGGAAAAGGTAGGTACCAGTGGGAAACATGAGACATCGCTGATTGGACGACGGGGCCGTTTGACCCTTGAACCGGAAGTAATTCTGCCTGCTGCGGCTTTTGAAAACATGGATATTGTCGGCGCCCCAAACATAGCTGCCGTTATCCAGGAATATTTTGAATCAGGACATACGTACGAGGCGATACTGGATATGCTCAAGACTAATCACGAAATTTCAGTTAGTTTGCGTACACTGAAGAAACACTTAAAAGAAGCTGGACTGTTCAGACGACGCAACTTCCGGTTCAAGGGTCAAACGGCGCCGTCGTCCAATCAGCGATGTCTCATGTTTCCCACTGGTACCTACTTTTCTGGTAGGTTCATGTAATTGTGTTTTTCTAAATGTAGTTGCGCTTTGCTTATGTAGTTGCGATTTTCTTAATGTAGTTGCGCTTTTAGATTTGTAGTTGCAGTTTGCACTTCAGGGCCACCGTACCTTAATAGTTATACCAATTAGTGTTTAGAAATGGAATCACAATTTACCGTTATGGTTTTGTTTAGTCCTGTTCAGCAATTAAAACTACATATTATGAAACATTTGAAAATCTCAGGTTTTATTGATCTTTTGAACAAAACAAAACAAAACAAAAAACAAACAAAACAAAAAAAAAAAATAGGTTCACTAGTAAAACATCAACCACCAAAAAGATAAAGATGTTACACGAATGTTCTTTGGCTTAAGAATCCTGCTGGAAGCCAGTGACTCACATTTAAAGCCTCCCTACAGACAAACCAAGTGCCATTTAAACAAAAGCAACAAAGAAAAACTTACACAATGTTTTTTTTTGTTTTTAACTTACAAAGACGTACAGCAACGTTTTCAGTGAGGTGGATTTTTATTTTTTTTCTACTTTTCAAAACTCACTTTTACGGAAGAGGATTAGGGCCAGTGGAAAAAAAAAAAAAAGATTTTTAAATTTTATTTCAGTTTACTATGGGAAAAAAGTCAGAATTCTGACTTTTTTCCCATAGTAAACTAAAATAAAATTTAAAAATCAGCTAACTTTTTTTTTTTTTAGTGGCCCTAATCCTCTTCCGTATCACTTTAAGCAAACAGTTAACATAAAATAAACTTATATATGTGTTATAATGATAAAAAAAAGTTATTAGAAATGAACAATGCCCAAAAGAAACAATACAACTTTTGTCAAAAGTCTTACTAATTCTTTAAATTTTGGGAGGATGACCTGAGTGGGCTGACCAAAGAGATGCCTTTATGTTTATGGTAAAAAAAAAAATTATAATTATCCATTTTAGCCAATTCTGCAACTTTAATATCGCAAAAGCAGCACTACACGAAGTTACAAGAAGGTTAAATCACATTTCTAACATAATTAATTTGTACTAAGATTTAAAAGAAAAACACATTTTTCAACTGAAGTCATAGTTTCAATTAGAAACGTTTTTAAGTAGAAAACGTATAAAATATTGAATAAAAAAAATACTGCTTTGTCTGAGCAGCTCTTGCTGGTTCAAATGAGGTGATTTCCTAATAACGTTAGACGGTAAAGATCCAACAGAAAGATTCCTGGGTAAACTAAAGACCTGTATAAAAATAGGACGTAATAATGCTTGTGGTATAGCTTTATATAAAATAAACTCTTTTTTTTTTTTTTTTTTTTTTTTGAAGCAGCAGCATTTTAAGTTCCTCCTGATCTCCTCTCATAAAGACGTTTAACAGAAATCAGAGCTGGCATGAGAGGCCAAGACAGCGACCAACAGAGTGATGGTATAGATGGAAAAATACGACAAAAAAACGACATGATTTTACTTTGAATCATAACTGAGAAAAATGAAACGTTGACTCACTGATGGTCGTCCGAAAAAATGGAGCTTGAATTAATACGACGTCCAAGCCTGGGAAATACCAGCTTAAGCTGTTTAAATCGGAGTTTTGAGCTCCTGAATAACTGCAGCAGGAAACCCCGCCCCCCTATTTTGCAAATGGAAATTTGAAGAAAATACAATCAGAAATAAAACTTTGAAAAACTAATCAATAGTGGATTTACAGTAACTTTGCAATTTTTTTAAAGTAAATTTTTCCTTCTTTTTTTTTTTTAACAAATTGCATATTTTTAATTTGTTGTTCATCTTTTTTATTCAAATCAAGTTTTTTTTAAAGATTTATTTTTCAATTTTCATGAAATGTCTTAATTATTTTCATAATAATTTTTTGGAAATTTATTTTTACAGTTTTTTTTTTCATTTTTTTTTTTCTCCCAAACTTCTGTTTTTCAGATGATTTTCACTGAATAACTGCAGCAGGAAACCCCGCCCCCCTATTTTGCAAATGGAAATTTAAAGAAAATACAATCAGAAATAAAACTTTGAAAAACTAATCAATAGTGGATTTAGAGTAACTTTGCAATTTTTTTAAAGTAAATTTTTCCTTTTTTTTTTTTTTACAAATTGCATATTTTTTATTTGTTGTTCAATTGTTTTATTCAAATCAAGTTTTTTTTTAAGATTTATTTTCCAATTTTCATTAAACGTCTTAAATATCTTCATAATAATTTTTTTTTAATTCAGTTTTACAGCTTTTGTTTTTTTCAAACTTGTTTTTCTGTTTTCACAAGACGTGTTTTTTTTAAATAGATCAAAATCACTGATTCTGGGGAAAGGCAATTTGAAAATAATGCAATTCGTAAAGCTCAATCTGAAAAACAGAAATGGAAAAAAAAAAATCCCAAGACAATTTCAGTAAAAAAAAAAAAAAAAAAAACGAAAAGTAACTCTCCAAACTTTTCCTTGAATAAAACATTTTTCGAAGTTTTGTTTCTGGCATGCATTCTGATTTTTTTTTTACTTTAACATTCTGCTCCATATTTTCACAAGAACGGAATAAAATCGACTCCATAGAAACCATCACCGGTCCAGTCCGATCCGTGGCATTTTTCTGAGATGCCGTTGATTCCGTCCACCCGCCTATGAGGCAGTGACTCCTTCCCACTCCACCAGGTACTGCACCTTGCCGTCGGCGGTGACCCGTCGGGCCAGGACTTTATACCTCTCCCCGCACGCCAGACGCCCCGCTACCCCGAAGTAGCTGCTGATGGAGCTCTTGAGGTGCGAGAGCTGGGTGTTGGGGTCCATGCCGTGGACTATGTCTGTGGGGTGGAGTCCTGGGAGGGCGCTCAGCAGCTCCGTGGCTGAGCCGTCGGTGTCTGGAAGCCTGGGGGGAGGGGGGAGTTCTGGATTGGGGGGCTTTGGGCTTCGCCGCGGTCGGCCGCGTTTCCGTTTCAAAGGTGGAGGGGAGAAAGGCATGTTGCAGGTAGCAGTTTGCATCTTGTTGGAACTGTAGAGACTGATGGAGGTTTGTTGGAAAAGAAGAACACAGAGTACATGTCAGACTTAATAATACTACTTCAGCGATAGTTTCAAGGTGTTGCTTTATTGTGTGTCTCGTACCATGTCTTTCGGCTGTGCTGTTCTTTTTTTTCATCTCGTTACAAGTGATGAAGCAGACTGAAAATATGTCATTGGCCGTTTCTCAATATGCGTTCTTGAGCGTGCTCGTGTGCTCGTGACACGTCATCAGCCTCAGCCCGGGTACCGTTCCAATTCTGGAGAACGCCAGATCGAGAACGCATCAAATCCCCGGATGTTGTTCTCGCCCCGCCCTCTTTATCGAGCATGCATCAGAGCAGACTTGTGCGTTCTTCAGACTGACCGCTTCCCCAGAATGCCCCGCGGCCGCAGCTTGATTCCAGACAGCGCTCACAGTGTTAAGTTAAACATTCCCTTTTCTGCTGCTGTTGTTCTTCAAAAGTACGTTTTGAAATCGTTTGAGGCGATAACGTTATACATTGAAGCCTCCCTGTGTGGCCTGTTTACAGAGTTAGTGCGAAAAAAAAAAAAAGTCAGACGTTGAGCGGACCAGAGTGACCAGCAGACCTCCGAGGGTAACCGCAGCCAGGGCTAATATTACCCTGTCTGTAGTGCACTTCTCTCGGTCTAGTTATGTGTGAACTACCGCTCGTTCTGATTTTTGCTTTAATTCGGCCCGCCATTGCTGGTTTTATACCCACGGTTCGGTAATTTTTTAAAACGTTTTTTAAGCTTTAGAAATTAAAAATATTGTTTTCAAAATGTTTTGTGAAGGGAATAAATAGTTTTGACTGTTAAAGAAATGCTAAACAACGTTGCCTGTGATGACGTCACGAGTACGCTTCTGCTCCAATACACATACGTGCTTGCGTTCTCGTCAAGTCCGATCTTCCTGCGTTCTCGCCAAGAACGGACTTGACGAGAACGCGAGTACGTACGGTTGAGAAACGGCCATTATCTCCTTTCTATCTCTTCTTTCTTTCATATTTTTTCTTTTTTCCTTTTTCTTCTTCTGTTTTTCTGCTCTACTTACATTGCAGTGTCCATATAAACTGTAAAACTCCCTGCATAATTTTAATAAAGCAATTTATATACATGAAACAAGTGGAGCAATATGGCAATTGCCATACCGCTACACTTGTGAAAGTAAAATCTGTTGGGCTCTTTTTGGCATCAAGACAATTATTCTTATTGCCACATTTCCAGACCGGACACTGTAAAAAAAATAAATAAAATTAAATAAAAAAATGTAAAAAAAAAAAAAAAAGGAAAAGAAAGGAAGAAAAGTGCTTTAAGAAAGAAAGAAAAGTGCTTTCATTACAGATAAATCGCCAAAAGAAGAAAAACGAGGCTGAGTAGAGGTTTGCAAAGAATGAAACATAAGCAAGCCGCTGATTTGAGCGGAAAAGAACTTTTTCCAATTTAACAAGACGATCCACCTTTAACCCTTTATAGGGAAAGTTAGCGTTTTTGATCCCTTGCATTACGCTGACAAATGGAGTTGGAAAAAAAGGTAAAAATCTAATTGAAAAGTTAAAAAGTTAATTAGCCTAGTAAGCAATTATATTTAGGTTTATAAACTAAAAAAACCTAAGTGCCAGTATCAGCATTAATGCCTCTATGGTTATGTTGGACCAAAGAAAATGTGTTTCTACAATGAAGAGGAGTATCTTCTCAGCATGACTCTGCCACCACCGTGTTACTGCTAATTTGTTCTAGTCAACCACATAGAAGTCTGCAGCTGTATGTTAAAACAGGCAAGTAAGGTTAAGGAGAAACACTGCTGGTAAGGAGCTCTGCGTAATCTCAAATCCGACCACTAGATGTCAGTAACTGAATGGATGATGTCTGGATCTTGGATGGTAAAATAAAATGAGCTCTTTCCTCATTCCTTCTACCAGCAGTGCGGAAAAATGCCTGATTTGTGATTGACTAACTTTAGCATCTCAGTCGGTGGCTGTTCTTCTTTACACGATGGTAATAAACTCTATGTCCATGAATTAAACTCCTTATTTAGAATTAGACACATTTTGTTTGTCTAAGGACCAACTATTTGGCTGTATGAGGATTTTTATCTCGCTATCAGCAGGTTAAGTTTAGACTTCTCCTGCTGTTTGTGCTCCAGTCAGCTAAGCTTCATTAAATGCCAACCTGGACGGTCTGGAAAGACTTGTTGAGGTAGTTTCTGAGTTGCTGACGGCACCGATGGATTCCACATCAGAAGACTGCAATGAGAGGGGAGGCTTGTCGCTCCTGCTGCTGTAAGGAAAAAAATTAAAAGAAAGAAAGAAAAAGAGGTGAAAAACCAACAAATAAACTAGATAAATGTTTTGTTGTTACTTTAATAGCCTGCCTTAACGCTTTATGGGCACTGATTTAAATAAAACTTTTCTTCTGTGTTCTTTATGCTTCAAACTGCCGTTTATGATTACAGACGCAGTGATGGTGAATATTCTCAGCATTCCAGGTCATAGTCATTCCAAAAAAACTGTCTGAAGACGTTTCTCTGCTACGGAGCCCCTCTGATGACATGGTCAAAAAAAATTTTTAATTGTGGCCACGAAGCAGTATTTCGTGGCCACGCAATAAGTATAACGTGCGCACGAAATACTTATTAAAGGCACACTATGCAACATTTTTCAGTTAATTAATGTGTTCCATAACGTTTTGGATGATTAAATGAGTCATTTCAGGTCGAACAAAGGTTTTCTCGGCCGCCCTGGTGGTCTGTGGGGGAAATACCGTACTTGCAATTGCAGGAGCACCGACCCGCACCCACAGGCTCAGAAGTCTCGCTAGAGTCGGTCTTGCTTTACGGCGAGAACTGCTACACCCCCAGTGAAAGGCATTCTCGTTGCTAGCACAGTGGCGATCTTTGTGCAGTGCTGCTTTCACACCGGACGCAGCAAAAGCAGCAAAATCGCGTCTGCTGCTTCATTTTTACTGCTTGTACCAGTTAGTTCTGGCGCGGCTGAAGCAGCTTTGCTGCTCTGGCTGCGCGGTGCAAAAGTGTTACTGACGCGCGTTGGGCGGAGCTTCACTATCCTTTCTCTGCCTTGCAGCTATATTTGCTGTGATCAGTGGGAATAAAGTAGTTTTAATATGTTTTTAAGTGAGAAAATACACCTGAAAACGTAATCAGTGCAGTCAGTTCATTCAGATTATCATCCTGCCTTCCAATATTATTTCTGACGGAGCTGCTCAGACCCCCACATACCAGCGGTGCGCCGACAGTAGGAATCCCTTCATCAGCAGCCTCTGGCCGGGTCGCCTCCTCGCGGTTCACCGCGGCAGCTGGTAGGTGTTTTTCATCTAAATAATCCGATCTGCAGGCAGCAGGATAATAAAAGCGAACATATTCTGCCAGCAGATTTCTGCATTTTAAGTTAATTTAGGCGTCAATAAACTGATTCAGAGGAGTGATCATAGCGCTCTGATCATCAGCGCTGTGTCTCTCTCCCTGTCAGCTCCCAGATCAGCTTCTCTGATTGGTTGACGTGGCGCGTCGAGCAGCAAAAATTCAATTTTTCCATCTCGAGCAGCAGCGCGTTTGCGGCGTGTCAGATGCTTAGTCATTCGTTGCGTTCGCCTGTCTGCTAAGCTCAAAACAATCGCGCCTGGCTTGACGGAGAAACCAGGAGAACAGCTGAGCATATTTACGACAGTGCACTTTTACTTTCGCCCTCTGGGGGGAGCCTCGCTGGAAAATCAACACCAGTTGCATAGTGTACCATTAATAATATTAATATCATTCCTGGACAACTGGGTAAGCAAATCGAGCGCGCCTTCTCTAAGGTCTAAGGCGCGCTCGATTTGCTTACCCAGTCGGTCTCCACCAGTCACGTGATATTTGTTGCTAAGACGCCATTTTAGGTGGAAAAGGCGTAGTGTAAACAACCGCAGCATAGCTAAACGAAGGACTAAAGGCCCGTTTACATAGCAGCCTGTCCAAGATAAGTCATTACAGTTAACATAAGCCTGAAAACAGGGGCGGATTTATTGATATTATTAATAAGCATTTCGTGCGCACGTTAAACTTATTGCGTGGCCGCGAAATACTACTTCGTGGCCACAATTAAAAATTTTTTTTGTCCATGTCATCAGAGGGGCTCCGTACTCTTCTCATCCAGGAAGCTTTTTCAATTCAAAATGTCAGAAACAGAGTTGAGTTCCAGGCTTTATAGAGTGAACCAAAGACAAAACCTTGTTTTGACTTAGAAAACATGCAAATTGAAACGTGTCCATCCCTTTGGTAGGGGGGTCGTTAGGGGGAATTATTGGCCTTTTCAGCCAGGCCAACAATTCCCTTTAACGACCCCCCTTTCAGAGACATAGACAGGTATGGGGCATTGCAGGCTAACAAAGAAGCCAAACGACCCCCATTCCAAAGGGGGGGGACCCGTTCATCCCTTTCTATTTGCATGTTTTCTAAACCAAAACCAGGCTTTGTTGGGCTGCTGGATAAAACCTGGAGCTAAACGCTATTTCTGACATTTTGAATTGAAAAATCTTCCTGAATAGAAGAGAAACGTCTTCAAACTTGGAAACAAAGTCCAGCGGATTGATTTTCTAACTTTTTTTGGGAATTAGCCTATATTTATTCTGTGTGGGATGTCTGCATCGCACACAGAGATACTGAAATAATGATACAGCTACCAGATATTGTGAAGCCCTAATTAACCCTTTGGAAAGCAGACTGTAGCTTACTGGACTAATTAAGCAGTTGCTCACTTACTTAACGGAGGTCAGATGATCCAATGCAGGGGCGTCCGCTTTTCTGCTTTCCTAGAAAAAAGTGAAAGTCATTAGCATCTACGGGAAGGTTTGTGTTTTCTCTCCAGCTGTGCCTCTCGGGAAACGTTCAAAACACCAAGATACACACCAGGGGCATCTCATCGGGCCGCTGTGCTTCGGCCAACGTCTCTTGCTTCCTCTTTTTCTTTTTTTTCTTCTTCTTTTTCTTCTTTTCTGTGCCATTGGTTAAAGTCCCAAAGCTCCTGCAGTGGAAACGTTAAAAAATTAAACATAAAACTGCTGACAGCTGTGCGTAAAGTGAGCTTTAATGTTCAGGCACTGAATGAGAAATGATGGAGAAACAGTTTCTGCTGCAGTTTTTCTTTTTTTTCTACATTCTCCATCTATATAAAAAAAAACTACCGTAAATTCCGGACTATAGAGCGCACCTGATTACAAGCCGCACACTCTAATTTTAGAAAGAAAATCAATTTTGTGCTTTTATAAGCCGCACCGGATTTTAAGCCGCAGGTTTCCCATGTTGTATGAGATATTTACAGATAAAGATATTACATGTGAGCATTTTTTTTAAACGTTTGATTTAATCCGTATGATAAAACAAACAAATATGGTACATATTATGAATGCTTTTTTTTTTCAGACCACCTGTAACACATTTAAATATACGTATGTGTCGGTACACTGGAAAAAATCCAAATCTAGATAAGTAATTTTTTCTTAAAATAAGTTCATTTGTTCTTGGATTTAGGAGATAAAAGAGACATTTTGCCAATGGAACGAGACAATTTAGATTAAAAATAAGAAAACGCAATTGCATTATCTTATTTCAAGTGCATATCATCTAATTATCTTAATTTGAGTAGGTAAATGCGATAGTTTGCCAATGGAATGAGTGTTTTTAGTCTTAAAGGAGAATTCCGGTTTTTAACACTTTTAGCCCATTTTCTGTAGTGTCCAGGATGAAATCGAATGATCGACACCAAAATTTTGACAATTGGTCCTGTCTCTGCTATTTGGCTCATGCAGAATCCCCCCCTGGCTGCTTCAGAATGGCTTCCATTGTGCATGTCCGATAATGTCCTTAAAACAACCTTAAACGTTCTTTTTTTTAAATATGCTACTCACCGGGTCGTCAGCGCTGTTCAATGACGTTCCAAAAAAAGTTTCGTGAAGAAAAAACGTTCCTGTAGTGTTTTATTTAGCATAATATATACACCTAATATAAGAATTTTTTACTTCTTTTTAGATCGTTTTTGCAGTGTAACACGCAAATAACGCTGCATATACCGGTACTTTTAATTGAACAACGCACAGAACATTGCAGCCGACCAGGAAAAGTCATTAATCACTTCCTTCTTCCTCCTGCGCACTAAAACCCTCAAAGTCCTCTTCCTCGGTGTCTGAATGGAACAGCTTCAGGATGCCGTCACTGACTTCAGTCTCATCCTTTTCGCTCTCACTTGAGCACTCGCGCTCCTCTTCATCCCGCAGCAGCCCCGCCGGTGATGCTGGATGTTTTCACACGGCTCCACGCATCGAGAACCCACTGGCAGACATCAGTGATAGATGCCCTTCGCATGCAGCCAGTTTTGGTGAAAAAAAAACATGTAATAGCAGCACTGTATTATAGGTCGCAGTGTTCAAACAGCGGGAAAAAAGTAGCGGCTTATAGTCCGGAATTTACGGTACATACAGATATAGAGAAATGATGAGCAGTGTGTTAAGCAGGGGCCAACGGGGGCCTGTGCCCCTGCAGATCATGTCCTGGCTCCTGTACTGAAGACATAATACTAACATAAATTGTAATGATGATGCTCTGGAACAGACATGGTTACTGATAGGTCGTTTGGATCTATTGCATTTTTTTTCTTTTAAAAATTGTGTTTTACTAATTATTTAAAAACAATAAGGCGATAGCTTCAGTGGGATGAGATCGGATCCCAGTTTTCATCTGCTAAATGTTTTTTTGTTTTTTTCAAAACAAATTTTTACAGCTTAATTTATCAGTTTTTCTTGAGTTCTAATTCAGATTTTATAGAAAACTGTTATTTTAAGTTAAATTAAGACAAAAAATATGTAAAATTCCTAAATTCTGGATGTATTTTGACCTATTAAGATATCGAATTTTAATTAAACCTAATTGAAAAGAAATTTCACTTCATGCAGCTCTCTTTATTTATTTTAATCCCTTGCCCTTTTTTTTTTATCTCATGCTTTTCTGTTCCCCCATGAAAACACGCTGGCCCCCTCCTGTCCCCCCAGTAGATTTGGTGTAGAACCGCCCCTGAAGCAGGGGAATACAGGCTAGCTACTGGAGCAGATAACCTGACTAACTATCCAGCTAACTGCACCGGTGGTCACAGAAAAAATAGATAATAAAAAACGGTGAGATGCGAACAGTCAGGGTCTGAAAATGACTAAACAACTAAATTATTCATTTGGCGATTTAATGGCAGAGCAACATTCGCCACAAGGCGACTAAATGGACCACAGTCACGATTCAGTGACGTCCTTTCATCTTTTATTTTGGCGAATCTCCCCTCTGTGCCTTTGTTCCTCACACGTCGATAGACGGACGCACTCGTTCATTTAACAACAGCTCCACCTCCAGGCAAACTGTGCTGCAGGGCTGGATGATAAATTGCAATATAATTGCAAATTAGAAACATGCAATTTTCAAATCTATTTTTGGTTACAATACATTTAACAGGAGTAAGACAGTACAGAACAGCCCTTTAGCCCTTAAGATGGCGAAAATACGATTAAAGTGGGAATGCTGTGGTACAGAAGGGAACAGTGAGTTGCATCTAGCACCTAGATCTATGCATTACAGTACAAGAAAGACATTTTCCAAGAAAATTTTACATTAAAGTCCTGTTAGCGGCTTTCAAGGTCGTGTAAAACTGGAACCATTGAGGAAAACACAGACATGGTGGTGCCTAGTACAAAGGAAAATTGCAATAATACCGCAATCGCAATTTTGGGTGGGGGCTGATGGACCCAAACTCGACCCGATAGCTTTCATTAGGTTTTTGTATTTTCCAAAAATGAGGTCAAACATCTGTTTATTGACTGTTTTCCTATTGTTGAGAACACAAGAGAACCAAACTACACTGATATTTATAGTATATTATATATTTATATCAGGGCTGTTAGTTTTAAAGCATTATTAACGCCTTAACTGTTTTAGACTATAACGCCAACATTTTTTTTTAACGCATGTTAATCGCGCATCAAAACACACGCACCGTTCGCTTTAGGGATGGAACGGTTTATAAAAACCGTCCGAACCGTTCGGTTTGACTGTCTCGGTTCGGTTCGCGTGTGTTGCGTTCGGTTCATGCGCTGCTCCTTTTTCTCATAGGCGAAACGTTTACACTCCAGGGCAGAAGGTGGCGGTACTGCGACCAAAGCCAACCACCAGTAGTAAACAGGAAGAAGAAGAAGTGAAGCAGCGTAGCCGGGTGTAGCATAACAAAATCAGTTGTGGAGAACTGTGTGGGTATGGCGAGTGGGAAAGAACAGGAGTTGGAAGACGCGCCAGCAGCACTTTATAGGTCTGCTGTATGGGACCACTTTGCATTTAGAGTGACCTACGATGACGGCGGAAAGAACGTTATGGATAAAAGTGCAACAGTGCGCAAGCATCGTGCAACACCCCTTTTGCACTAAATGATGGACCATCTTCCCCAGCCTGTTTCTTATACTATTAATGTCCTCCTGTTGTTGGGTAAATATCAGATCCACTGCGCTAAATGGAGAAATGCTAAACCTTCCTTTCATTGGTTTATGAATGACTTTAAAATCTATTTTTCTTCTCTTAAGATAAAAAATGACAAATATGCCAAAAAATTGAGACTTGATTTCCTCAAACATCTGCTCTTTTAAGTGCATTCACCTTTTTGTTTTTATTTCTATGGCTCTGTCTATGTTTGTTTTAAATGTTTGCTGTTAGTTGTTTTACTTCTTTGTTTTTCTTTTATTGTAATTAATCTTTATCTGTTCATGTTCACCTTTGCTATCCTCCCTGAGTATTTTTTCATATAAATGTTTGTTGAATAAAAAAAAAAAAAAAAAGCATTGTGCAACACGTTATATTATATAAGACATAATAGATTTTCCTAACAATCAACATATACCGAACCGAAAACCGTGAACCGAACCGAACCGTGGATTTTGTGAACCGTTCCACCCCTAGTTCGCTCATGTTCTTTTTGCGCTCTCTGTTCGTTCGTTTTACCCTCTGGGCTTTCCGTAGTTCCAGGAAAGCTAAGTGTGGGGGAGAGTCCGCAGCATAACAGATCCGTGCTTTGAATGGGCAAAAATTTTACAGCAGACAAGCTTAATTTATCCGGAATGATAAGTTGTTGTTTTTTAAAGTTATACCAGAAGGCTCTCTTGATAAAACCCGAGTCGTCTGTCTATGTTGTCCAGAAGAAACGAGCGTCTCACTGGCTTAGTGCCAACAAGACAAAGAAATGAACTAAGTCATGTGGAACGCTCTGCTGCTGCACTTCCTGTTCAGAGCAAAGGAATATTTAAGCATTTTGAAAATGTTCTACATGTATAATATTATGTTGTTGAGATGACTGCAAAGCCAGTTATTGTAATTTCGTTTATTATTTTGAGAGTAACTTCATTTCATTTGAATTAAGTCTGTATTTCATCACGCAATGTGCAATTTATTTTAAAAGTAAATCGTTATTTTTGTCCTATGTTTGACCAAAAAATTAAGTTTACGGAGTACTTTGAAGTACCGTTTACTGTTCTGTAGTTTTGTTCATTTTTGATGGAAGCATAACACCTAATTTTTACAATTTTTGAGTAATTATTGCCCAGAATTTAAACAAGGATGTTTTTATTCTAGTTTCTTCAAAGTGCTTGAAAGATAAAAAAAAATAAAAAATACTTTTTGTATAAGCATGTTTTTTTACATGTCATTTATTGCACAATAGCATTTTTAAAATGCCCAAATAAAACTATGCGATTAACTTGCAATGTTATTAACTATAATTCTGGAGCATTTGCAGGAATGCTTATTAATGTACATGGTCCCTGTCAGATAAATAAATATAAATATTAATTAATCGTTACTTGATTGATACGATCAATCACTTTAAGAGTCGTTCAGGAATCAACAGTTTGCATCCCGAGTCCAAATAAAAATAAAAATAAAGGTTGCTTCTTACTTCCTGTCGAAGGAGCTCTTCACCGCCTTCCATCCCTTGATGGTGATCTGCAGCGGCTCCCCCATCACCGTATATGTGGGTTCAGAACAGTTGGGGGGGGTAGGGGGGAAAAAGACTCTCAGGCGAAACAAGTGCTTCTTTTTCTTCACCTCCTTCCCCGACATGAACCTGCAAAGAAAAAGAGGAGGAGTTAGGAAGAGGATTGTTCCAAGTTTGTCATTAAGGTGAAGCAACATGAGGAAAAAAGACCAACTTACGTGTAACTGTTGCTGTTTAAGGCCTCTAAAACTTTTTTATACCGCTTCGATCTTGGTGTGCTAGCAAGCTGTAGACAAAAACAGATCAATTTGACATCAGGAGATTTAATTCCTCCGTTTAGAAGAAAAAAATGTCTGGATTTGAATAACAAAAACATTATCAAACAGAATATTAGCAATGATAACAGATGGAGGGAGATTCAGTGCTTGAGCTTCATGGGATCTGAAGGCATGGCTGCGGAAAACTAAATAATTGGCAAATGCATACATGTACTGAAAAGAAAAAAAAGAAAAAACACCAATATCAGCTAAAAATACCATTCGGCGGATGTAAGAGTCCATCGCTATTTTTGAAGCCCTAACAGATTTTAATGCCAAGGATCGTTTAAAAAAAGTCAACTTGAAAAACTGAGAAGGCTAAAGGTTTTCATTTGCTCACTATAATTAAAAAATATATCTTTACTAGCTCATCAAGTTAATCAAACTTTTTAATCTAATATAAAAAAAATGTTAAACCCAGCGTCTCTCCTGCTTCATTTTACCAAAAAGTCTTCTATCAGCCTTGTTTCGCAGCACAGGCTCTAAGTGAATTAGCCCACTATAAAAAAGGACAACGTGAGCCTAAATATATATAAAGCATTCATGATTAAATGTTTATCCTGGAGCAAATGTCAAAAGGTAGCATGAGGTGAGGGTGGAGCAGCGAACGCGCTAACCGTGTGGAATTCACCGCTCGCCACTTCACCATAGCTTGCAACTAGCAGCAGTAATGGAGTCTGGAGATGTAAATACCTCTTAAATCGATCTTTGCACTCCTCTAATTTATCCAGAAGTTCTGGAATCACATTTTTTCTCTCCCTCCCAGTTTGGTGGTCGGCTGCATATTTAGCAGCCTTCCCTGGAAACGCCTTTCCAAATGTCTTATTGTTTGACAACCTCGATTCCAAAGCAAACATGCAGGCAATCCTTCCTCATTGGTAATGAAAGTAAATGATTCGCTCCATTCTTCTTTGAATCCTCCGTATCTTTATTTCCTTTTGGCCTGAGACACACCTGCCACTTTGTTTCCAGCAGCCACCAGCCTGGCGCCGCACCGCGCCGATAGATTTAAGAAATGGATTTCATCTCCGAACTCCACTACTGCTGCTAGTTTGGTTGCAAGGATGGAAAACCGTCCAGAGATCGAACAGCAACGCTCTGGTGAAGGGATGGGAACCTTCTTCCATTTTTCCCCCAAAATCTAATTTCTTTATTGTGTTTCTATAACTTAGATTTCAAATAAAAAAAGTTAAGCCAAGAATGACATGACATGGGAGCTGGCTCGGAGCTCGTCTGCCTGGCTGTGTGTTTCCTGGACGGGGCCGCCTGTGGAGCTGGTTGACAGTTGCCTTTTGTATCTATGCTTCTTTTTCTATGTCTGCTTCTGTCTCCTTGAACCCCAGTCGGCCTCAGCAGATGGCCGCTCACACTGAGCCTGGTTCTGCTGGAGGTTTCTTCCTGTTCAAAGGGAGTTTTTCCTCTCCACTGTCGCTACAAGCATGCTTAGTGTGAGGGATTGCTGAAGAGTCAATGAGTCGATGCAATCAGCTGGTTTTCCTTAGATAGAAAACTTTGAATCAATCTGACTGGATGATCTGGTGAACTGGAAAGTGACCTGAGATGACATGATGTGAATTGTAGCTATAGAAATAAACTGAATTGAAAAAAAAAAAAAGGTAAAAAGCACATTGAATAGTTAAAAATTAAAAAGTTAATAAGCCTAGTTAACAATTTAATTTAGGTTTATAAACAAAAAAATCTAAGTGCCAGTCTTTCATTCTGTGTTTTTCATGAATTTGTTATAGAAGCACTTTTGTTATTTTCATACAATTGGGCAAGTTGGTGTTTCTTGTTATTACACTGACATAAATTTTTTTCTATCAAAATATCACTATTTTTTTTATGTTACCAAGGTAATAAGATCTTGTCCTGGATTCCTGGATTTTCAAAGTATTCCACTAAGTGCTCTATAAAGGGTTAATATGTTTGTTAGATGTGCAAGATAAATATTTCATCTTTAGCGGCGAGGAAAGCCGTTTTTTTCGTCATCTGGATATATTTCCACCTTGGGCCGCAAAAATCTAGCCTGGGTGCCATTCCGAACTTAGACCCGGCCACAAGGTTTGAGGTCCGGAAGTTCGGTCTGGCATTGCTCAACAGTAGCGCGAGTATGATCGCCCACTCTCTGGTCGGGCCAATCAAATTGTCAGGGCGGGCTTTATACTTTGATGGACAGATGATCAACAGTAACGTAATCGACCACGTCATCAAAGCGCGCTTGGGTGACAACAACAATGGCTGCCGCTGGAGAGCTGAGGTGTGTAGATTCTGCTACTAGGTCTCTTCTAGAAGATATCGACAGCAAATTAATTTTAAAAGAGGAACAGAGAAACGCGATCAAGGCATTTGTTGGAAAGAAAGATTTATCAATGTATGTCGCTTAACATACGTCACGCACTCCGTTGCTCTTATTGGTTGTAGGTCTATCCAATTGAGTGCAGAGGCATTTCTTTTCCTGGTTCGTTCGAAACACGCCCCATAATCACAGCTCTATGGAGCAGCATCAGACTCATTCTGACTAGAATTGAGTAGGACTACGTCAGGCTAGCAAAAATCTCCCCCCATAGACTCTGGTTAAAGGTCGGCCATGAGCAGCAGCTCCTGTTCAATGCTAAAGATAGGAGCATCCTGGGGAGCAGCTTTCCTGCACCCAGAGGTGAAAGCAGCTTTATTTGATCCCCTCTTCCCTCCATAGCGCTGACATCACAGTCGTCTGCTAGAAAGTGCGACTGATTGACAGATTGATAGAATTATTTAGCAACAAGGCTAGGCTAACTGCATGCAGCGAGGCTAAGGCTTTATCCTGCTTTCCCTGCCTCCTTTTTCAAACGTCAGGATCTGAACCACCATGGATAAAGACAGCTAGGACTGATTTAAAGCACTTTGCAGAACATTTTAGAATGTTGATGTTTTTTGTTGGCATTATATAAATATACTGCTGTGATACCTTAGTGTATATCTGATTGGAGAAAACTCGACAAGCCGCCACTGCACCCAGCCCATGTATCGATCTCAAATTGAGACAGGACTACAGGGTATCAAAAAAAGTAAAAAAACAGTTTTAAGATCTTTTTTTCCACCTCATACACATGAACGTCTCTTACCTTCCCCAGCTGCAGCAGCTCCCAGTTCTCGTTGATGTACGGCATCAACTGCAGCTCCGAATCAAAATACCTCTTCTTGTGAATCACACTCAGGTTGAATAAGCAAAGATGAACCACATCTTTCCTGAAATATTCAAGAAAAACATGAAAAGATTTGATAAGAAAGTTAAGTGGAAGGAAAAAAAAAAGCAAAATAAAAAAGAAAGCAGGACTTGACAAGTCTTCTTTCGATGAAAGGTGAATGTGAGTGGTCGATTATCAAGGGGATGGGATTGTTTGGTTGTGGCCGGTTTGTGGGAAGAATCTTGCTAACCAGTTAGCATCTTAGTGCTAGCAGGTTCCCAATGGGAAATTCCATTGGGACCAAGTAGAACTAAATTGGTGGCTCAGAAACGACGCTGTCAAGGAACGCTATGGACAGCGGAAACATGCAAGAGGAGGAGAGTTTAGTGTCGGAGGTCGTGGATGAGTCTCCTCCGTCATCCATTTTTTATTTAGAGGAGGAAAGCGGGGACGAAGATGTTGTGGAAGAGGACGCCAGGGCGGCAGAAGCTTGGTTTGGTGTAGAAGGCTTCCAGCCGTACATGTTTGAGCCCTTGCCTCGCAACGCTGCCAGTTCTGTTAGCTCTACGCCTGCCGAAGACACAGATCTCCATCCCCGGAAACACTGGGACGCAAGTCAATGGGAAAGGAAAGGATTCTGATTTCAACCGCTGCGTATATTAGCTGCGACACATGAATCAAGATGCTATGACCGAAAACATTTGATTGACAGATGACCGCTGATATATGATTGGCCGAATTTAGGTGTTCAGGCTGACGTAGAACTAACTGGCCTGCAGACGATAATGAAAAAAACAGATTTTAAGACAAATTTCATTCATTTCACTTTTTTTTTTTTTTATAGATACAGGTGCTGGTCATAAAATTAGAATATCATGAAAAAGTGGATTGATTTCAGTAATTCCATTTAAAAAGTGAAACTTGTATATTATATTCATACATTACATACAAACTCATATATTTCAGATGTTTATTTTGTTTAATTTTGATGATTACAAATGACAACAAATGAAAATCTCAAATTCATCATATCAGAAAATTAGAATATTACTGAAGACCAATAAAAACAAAGGATTTATAGAAATGTTGGCCAACTGAAAAGTATGAACATGAAAAGTATGAGCATGTACAGCACTCAGTATTTAGTTGGGCCTCCTTTGGCCTGTATTACTGCAGCAATGCGGCGTGGCATGGAGTCGATCAGTCTGTGGCACTGCTCAGGTGTTATGATAGCCCAGGTTGCTCTAATAGTGGCTTTTAGCTCTTCTGAATTGTTGGGTCTGGTGTATTGCATCTTCTTCTTCACAATACCCCATAGATTTTCTATGGGGTTAAGGTCAGGAGAGTTTGCTGGCCAATTAAGAACAGGGATACCATGGTCCTTCAACCAGGTACTGGTAGCTTTGGCACTGTGTGCAGGTGCCAAGTCCTGTTGGAAAATGAAATCTGCATCTCCAAAAAGTTGGTCAGCTGCAGGAAGCATGAAGTGCTCTAAAACTTCCTGGTATGTGGCTGCGTTGACCCTGGACCTCAGAAAACACAATGGACCAACACCAGCAGATGACATGGCACCCCAAACCATCACTGACTGTGGAAACTTTACACTGGACTTCAAGCAACGTGGATGAAGTGCCTCTCTTCTTTTCCTCCAGACTCTGGGACCTTGATTTCCAAAGGAAATGCAAAATTTACTTTCATCAGAGAACATGACTTTGGACCACTCACCAGCAGTCCAGTCCTGTTTCTCTTTAGCCCAGGCAAGACGCTTCTGACGCTGTCTGTGGTTCAAGAGTGGCTTGACACAAGGAATGCGACAGCAGAAACCCATGTCTTTCATACGTCTGTGTGTGGTGGTTCTTGAAGCACTCACTCCAGCTGCAGTCCACTCTTTGTGAATCTCCCCCACATTTTTGAAGGGGTTTTGTTTCACAATCCTCTCCAGGGTGCGGTTATCTCTCTTGCTTGTACACTTTTTTCGACCACATCTTTTCCTTCCCTTCGCCTTTTGAACCTTTTCACAATATTCTAATTTTCTGATATGATGAATTTGAGATTTTCATTTGTTGTCATTTGTAATCATCAAAATTAAACAAAATAAACATCTGAAATATATGAGTTTGTATGTTATGTATGAATATAATATACAAGTTTCACTTTTTAAATGGAATTACTGAAATCAATCTACTTTTTCATGATATTCTAATTTTATGACCAGCACCTGTATTTTCTAACTTTTGGGACAATATGGTCTAATAAAGAGTACATCTATATACATGTTTAAGCCAGAATGATTTGACATTTAAACATTATTTACCTACAACTTTAAAAGATGAGGAGAGCATTTCAGGACCATTTAGAGCCGACTTCTATAAATGGCCCTACTGGCATTGACAACTCTCACTTTCCTGCTTAAAAGACTCAACAGTCAAACTATCTATAAATTTGATAATAATCATGAAAAACCTCTATAGCCGGACATACACTGTACGATTTTTTCAATCGTTGCAGCTACAGCTCAAACTGTACAACGAAACCTCAGGGTTGAAAAGTTCACAGCTCAAGATGTTTGTTCTCAACATCCAAAAAATTGGCCCGAAAGATGGGAAAATAAAACGTGCAGGGTATGCCCCGCTTAATGGTGGATACAGTAAAGCAGGAAAGTTGTTCTCACTCCTGCGAAACAAGTTCAGTCATTTGGTCAGTCTCTTGGGCAATAGCAGGTATCGGCTCACCAAGGTGGTAAGAAATAATATTTTAAATTCCTCTGCCGTTGTGGTGCTGTTGCGTTTTATTTAGCTACAGTGAAGAGATCATCCACTGAACTTCCCACCTGTAGCAATCAGGCCAGAAGTTCGATGGAGGATCAGGAATCAGAAAGGTGGAATAACTCTTTTTTCACTTTTACCCGATGTATTCCAGCATCCAGCTGCCATGCACGTGGGCATTGTCAGTTTCACTATAGCTCTGGTGAATTTCAATTAGGGGTGTAAATAATAATCGTTTTGTATCGATGCATCCATCCAAAAGCCGACGATCCGATGCATCGACACGTCCGGAAGATAATCGATTCATGTTTTTTTTTTTCTCCGGTCTATTTTTATCCATTTGCTCCTGGGCGTAATTCTCCTCCCGTGCTGCGGTGGCGCTAAACCTATTTTGCCCTCCTACCGCGCTTCCTGGTTATACTCTTACAGCAGTGTGTCGCAGTGAGCTTGATGCAGACATTTTTAAATTATGCTCAGTATTGAAGCGTGGTCTGTGCTACATGCTGTGGGTCTAGATACGGCCGAGGCGGCGAGGAAGTGGGGACGAGTTTAGTCCGACGACGGAGGGACATGAGGGCAAAAAGAGCGGAGATTCAGCTGGAAAAAGGGTCCCAGCGTTCTCGCGCACCTTGGTCTTCTAGCGGGTCAAACTTCACGAGTTGTTTTCCGCAATTTCGGTCATAAAAACAAACCAAGCTGGCCTCCTGTCTGCTGCACTGTTTGCAGTCAGCTACAATCTGGGAGAGGTGCAGCGGAGCGTCTCTCAAGGGGGCGGGGACGTCGACACTCTGAAGCCTTCTTCTTCTTTTTTTAATGGCGGTTGGCAAACAACTTATAGGTGCATTACCGCCACCTTCCAGAATGGAGCATGGACCAGACAAACTATTATATTCTCCCTAAAATACCCGTTCTTCTTAGAAAATTAAAAATACTCCCAAAAACTACATCCCCAGATGACCTTTGAAACAATTCCCTTATATCTAGTTTATTTTTATTCCTGTCTAACTCTCTAAGCAACATCTCTCTTTCCTGAGTATATTTATTACATTCTAAAAAAATATGTTGGACAGTTTCTCTGGAGCCGAGGTATTGCATTGAACTCATTACACTGATTTTCTGCAGTATTTTTGCAGTATTTTTTGATGCAACTTTTCTACTTCTGTTATTTGCTGTTGTTTCTAAAGAAAATGCATAACGATAATACAGCTTTCATTGATTTATTTCAAACTTGAAACTTTGTTTAGTCTGTAAGGTGTAAAAAAAAAAATAAAAAATAAAAAAATTAAAAAAATTTGATTAATCGAATCAAATCTAATCGTGGTGTATTCTTGAGTATCGAAAATGATCGAATCGTTGGGTCAGGAAATCGATACTGAATCGAATCGCCATGATGGATGTGATTTACACCCCTAATTTCAATGGTGAAGTCCTCTGGAAATCTTCAATAATTGTTGTTGATTGCAGATGTGTCTAGTAGTTCCCATTGATTTAGCTTGGAAAGCGGGGAGAATGGCGCTAGGCTAGGCTTACCGCACCGTGACTCAGTGATTACGACAACAGTTGGTATTTTTTCTGATTAACGCTAAATTCATTAAATCACAGTGAACGTATTATTTTTAGGTATAAATAATGATCCATCGATTATTCTTTGCTGACCGGACTTTTCCTTTAAACCATGAAAAGGTTTTATTTTATTTTTTTAAATCAACACTGTAATCAGTTTGTGGCTAATAATAATAGTGATTGACATTTATGCACTACTTTTGCATGCCACGTATCACTTTACTTGGATTTTCACTTTATTTGGATTTAGTTTTTACATATGCATAGATATACGTACAGATATATATACAGAAGAGCTATATGTGTATATATTTTATCTCTTTTTATTCTTTATTATATTGTATAGTTGGATGTGTATATGTGGAGCGTGTAACAAAAGTAATTTCCCTCTGGGATTATTAAAGTACTTCTGATTCTAATTGAATGTGTGGACAGTTAGTCATGACGGCTGATAGATTTTGAGCAAAAGGAAAACCCTGTGTGATGGAAGACCTAAGGAAAACTTTGATTAACTCACCAGCTGAGAGGGAGACGCTCAATAAACTCTGTTCCACCGCTGCACACTGAGCAGACGAAGACGTAAAACCTGGACACAAGAAAATGCCGTATCATCGAAATGCATTGCACTGCATCGCCACGGGATAAATGTTTAACAGGGAGAAACAAAAAATGACAATTTAGGTAATTATTTTTATAACTTTTCTAACTGTTTGGTACATAAGCCTTCATATCCACCTCCTTTATGGTGAGTATAATAGAAAACCATCCTCAAATTCTATGATGCATTTTAAATGGCTTAAAGGTCAAATAGAAAGGAGTGCGTCTAGAGCAGTTTTATCGTGTGTGATAGTAGATTATCCTCCCTTTTCTCTATGAGGCTGGTCTAAATAGCTCTAAAAATGCTCCAAGTAACAGAAATCGAGAGAATTTTACAGGCCCCTCTAGCGCTATATATATATATATATATATATATATATATATATATATATATATATATATATATATATATATATATATAATGTATATATATATATAAAAACACAGCCAAATCCTTCGTAATCTTTACCATCGACAGGCTGCAGCCATGTCCCAAATTTCTCGTTTTCCAGCCACTTATGTTCAAATTAGCATTTTCCCATTCTCTAGCTTTTTCTGTGCTTCGAGCTTCTGTTCCGAACATACGGCTTTACGATAAACCAGGAGCAGTTCCACGCAAACACGTGGAACCAGTTAAATCTGATATATTTGACAAAATGTTTTTTTTTATAAAGCATTTTAAATGTCATGATAATCACATTTAATGAATTTTAATGCCAATTAAGGCCTTAATTAAAAAAATTATAATTTAATGATTTTTAATGACACGCGGAAACCCTGAGGGTAGCTCCGTCCAACGCGCATCAGACCCACTTTTCGTGTCAGAACTAAACTTGTACAAGCATCAAGAATGAAGCAGCATGTATATTTTTGATGCTGTAGTGTAAAGGGCGGATTATACTTCTGCATCCACACTAGGGCTGAAAGATTTTGGAAAATAATCTAATTGCAATTTTTTTTCTTTATATTGCGATTTAATGCATTTTTTTCCCCCAGTTTAAATGATCATGTCTTTTTTTAAACACATACAAACAACAAATCAATCTGTTTCATCGCTGTGCAGATTAGGTGCTAAAAGACACGCTGTGTCCTAATTAATGATCGCGTTCTTCCTAGGATATATTTCAATCAAGATTGCAATTTAATTTTGACTTTTCTCTACATAACCACAAGCAACAAAAATGGCCTCTAAATAAAAACAATTGTAAACAAGGACTATTTAAATCAAGAACTTTTAATGTTTTTATTAATCAGAATATTATTCAAGAGAACAGCTTTTAACTGATTTGGACATCAGTCCTTGTTGAACATGAAGTCCAAAGTGCAACCAACAAACCAGTCTATGTATTGAACTGATTAACTGGTACTTAGTGCTATGTATGAATATATAAACTCTAAAACAAGTAATAAAATTAGATTATCTCACTGCTGCAACTGTCTTCCCTTCCATGTGGAGGCAAATCCACTTTAAACATTTTACTGACACCTAAAGAACGCGTCTGATTCACTAATTGTTCACTAATAGCCAAAAATTGCAGACGTCCGCGATTTGGAAATTGCATTTTTTTCAATCACGATTATATTGAAAATGCGATTAATTGTTCAGCCCTAATCCGCACACATCAAATGTCGCTTGTGTCTGATCGCAAACCAGTTTAGTTGGTATGCTTCTGCACCGTTGGTCTGGAATTTCTAGGGACGCACAGCAGTTTCCTGCCAAAGCGCCAGGGGGAGCTATTCGAGAACTCGCAAGAACTTTGGCGGCGCCGGCGGGGGTGTTTATCTTCCAAAACAACAATGGCGCCTCTGCAAGACATCACGGTCACGGAGATAGATCTAGAGTTGCTAGACATCAAAGAGGAACAGGTTCTGTTAACGGACCGGACCTCCTCGGTTAACCTTTCGTCGTAGTCGTCCATTGTAGTTGTTCCTCGTTTTTAAAAATGGCGCGCCCCGGCACCGAATCATGAAGGACGACCACCCAGACAGCCGGGAAGGCGTACCAAGGAACAATCACAGCTGCTTTTTGTCTGTGCACTTCTGCTTGAGGTCTACGTGGTTTTGCAATCATCCAACGCGTAGTCAGAATTCTTTTTTTTTTTTTTTAGGGGCATGACGACGGGTGCAGAGCTTCTGCATGGGGGGCGTGGTCGCGCACAGAGACAGATTTGATGGCAGCAGAGGCTATGCATCAGACGCATAAATTGGCTTCTGACTAATTGCTTCGTATTTGTCCATCAAAAACGTGAATAAATATTGAGTCGCTACGTAAAATGACTACTTCCTGACTAAACTGACGTCACAGCATCCCTCAGTGGGTCACGTGACCGAATGAGGAATTTAGCATCGTCTGCCATCTTACCGAATTATTTATATAAACAACAAAATTATGGACAGTTTTTCACTTGTGATGTATTTAATGTTGTACAGGTGTTGCACCCTATTTTATTTCAATATATAACATTTGTTCGCTGTATTATTGAATTGTTTAATGTGACCATTATTTTTTTTTGGTCAATTCTGTTGTTTAGAACATCACGTCTATTTGCTAATATTTAGGCATGTCTGATAAAGGCTCTACGTCAATGTTAGCGGCGAGAGTTGCAACGAAGAAGAAGGCTAGAGTGTGATGGTTTTATCTGCGTGTTCGTGCCCGGCTGCTCCAGAGAGAACAATAAGAAAAAGAGAAAAAAACGTCCAGCGTGAGGCAAATAAAGTTGACAAAAGCGAAGACGGAGTCCTTTCTGTTTCGGGAGTGTAACACATACCATCAAATTAGAAAAGTATGTGGTTTTCTATTTGAACTTTAAAGTTAAAATCTCTAAACAAAATAAATGATATAGGAAATGTATCGAGTTGTAAGGAAAATGAATAAACATCAGCTGAACCTTGTCACATACATTAGACTTTAGAGTTAAGTGTTTGCACCTATCTCCATTGAACAGTGGAGTCTGCAGGCAGTGTAGGCAATCCTCATGGAACCACTGCCGACATCTGTTGCACTGCAGCATCTTCAGGTACCAACTACACACAAATACACACACATTACCAATGCTAATATAACCTGACAAGCAGCATTATACATGGAAATTATTCAACAAGTTTTTTTCAGTGTTTTCAGCCTGTAAAGGGCGACTCACTGTCCTGGTCCTCCACAGTAGCAGTAGCATTGCTGCATGTTGATCTTATGACCCTGATCCCACACTAGTTCCTTCAGAGAATATGGAAAGGACTGATGAAACGCCATGTGTTGCTCCTCATGATCTTCCTCTGCGCTCCCCCTCTGCATAAAAAAAAAAAAAAAAAGATCAGTTCATAGAGGTGATTTTATTGCAGTGTTTTACAGACGGTTCCAAGGCTGTTAATTGCATTAGCAAAACAATCAATTTAACAACAACAATTTAAAAATAATGCAATTTCCGATCTGCAAAGGCACTTAATTATGTTTAACAAAAGCGCAGCTTTAATTTTTTTTCCATTCAGCCCCTTAAAGGAATAGTACACCCAAAACATGATTAGCCTTCATTTTCTACTCACTCTGGGAGGCTTCTTGCTGTCTGCTGACATTCAAATAATGGAGGTCTATGGCGCCCGAGGCAGAAAAGTCCATAAAAGTCCACAAAAAACGTGTCAATATTCCTCCATACTGCTCGTCCAATGTATTCCAAGTGTCCTGAGTGGGTAGCGTCCATAATTTACTCGAAACAAAGTCATTTAAAATGTTTTTAGAGCATAAACAGTAGTGTATAGGATTTCCTAAAAGCGCGTTCACGAGTCTACGGAAACCGCGGCAGACCAAACCAGACGAAAGTGCGCATTCAGCTCGGCAAAGAACTCATGCTCTTCCTCAACACTGAAGTCCTCAGACATTTTTCTTTCGTTGTTTCTTTCTTTGCACAGGTAAACAGCACATTTCTTCTTCTACGCTTGCATTATCGGCAGAGCAGACGCTGAATGCGCACTTTCATCTGGTTTGGTCTGCCGGTTTCCATAGACTCGTGAGCGCGCTTTTAGGAAATCCTACACACTACTGTTTATGCTCTAAAAACATTCTAAATGACTTTGTTTCGAGTAAATTCTGGACGCTACCCACTCAGGACACTTGGAATACATTGGACGAGCAGTATGGAGGAATATTGACACGTTTTTTTGTGGACTTTTATGGACCTTTCTGCCTCGGGCGCCATAGACCTCCATTATTTGAATGTCAGCAGACAGCAAGAAGCCTCCCAGATCTCCAGATGCATTTGAGATATCAAAAAAGTACTCCAGAGTGTTGTTCAGCATGGGGGTGAGTAGAAAATGAAGGCTAATTATGTTTTGGGTATACTATTCCTTTAAGCCCGGCGTAAACTGTGCGATATTCTTAATCCTTGCATGCAGCTACAGCTCAAACTGTACGAGGGTTTAAAGGTTCACAGCTCATGATGCATTGTTCTTAAACTGAAAATAAATTTTTCTCATTTTTGACAGTTCTGTAAATGTCACTTCAAAATAAAGTTGAAAAAAGGAACCAACATTTTTTTTTAGAGATTAGTTGACAACATACTTAATTGGAGCATATTGTGATATATATTATTATTATTGTGATAAAAAAGTTAATATTGTGATATATTAATTTATTCCATATCACCCAGCACTAGTGACAAGTATCGTATCGCAACACCCATGCCAATTCTCACTAGGCCTGTCACGATAACAAATTTTGCAGAAAGATTAATTATCTCAAAAATTATTGCGATAAACGATAATATTGTTTTAAGACCTTTTTACACTGATTTAATGGAAATGAGGTAATACTGCATGCATTTTCCTGCCAAAGATAAACACACTTTATTTTCAACAGAACACTTAACACTGGAACTGGTTAACAAAATAAAACGAGAAATAAAATTTAAATGAACTCTCAGTTGTTAACTTAAAATACACTTGAATAAAAACTAAACACAAGATAAAACCACAGTGAAAATAAAAACGTGTATACAAAATATCACGTTGGTGATGTGTATGTTTTCTGGGGAATTCATCCTGTCTATCAAATCTCTGCAACATTTTTCGAAATGTCGGCTTTTCAACAATATTAAATGAAAGCATCTCTTTAGCAATTAAATGAACTACGCTGTCTGTGAGCGCGCGCCACTTTGCGCCGTCCTTTTCATATGCTGCCTTTCGATTAATTGCTTCAGTGATGGTGGACTGTCGCAAACTTGAAGACGCAGACGGGCCTCCCCTTGTACTTTTTGTTTCCAGCTGGAGAAACTTTGCTGGGTTTTTGTGCTTTAGCTGCATGTGTAGGTTGGTTGTATTATTAAAAAAAATGCGACATATTGGCTCGCATAGGTTCAGCGGTTCGCCTCGGTCATTTAGTTTGAATCCGAAATACTCCCACACTGCGGCTGTTGCGCTCGGCTTTCAAACCAGTTCCATATCGAGCTTTTTCCTCCAACATAAGATGTGGGATTTTTTACCTCGCTAACTCCTCACGGGGCTCTAAAGCTGCAGAAGTACAGAATGATGCGCGCTGACGACCTGATGTGATAGTCCACTCCTCCCTCCCTCCTCAAAAATGAGGAAGGGGAGGGGTCAGTGGATAGCACCGGAGTTGAACCTTTTCATCCAGCGTCATCAAAAGGAGAAAAACACCGATAAGCCGATAAATTAAATGAGGCGGATCATTTTTATTTATCGTGCGATTAATTGATTTATTGATTATCGCGACAGGCCTAATTCTCACCCCTATTTAACACTCTTAAGAATAACGTGAAATAGGATTTAAAGTTGAAATGAGGAATTAGAAACTTTTGAACTCAAACGCTGCAAACTTTTTCTTTCCCTCATGTGAATGAAGCCACTTCTCCAACATCCAGCTCCTACCTCAGACAGAGACGCCAGCCGACATTCTGAGCACAGCCACTTGTCGTCGGAGTCGATGACGGCAGCATCGATGATGGGAGAGTGACACATCTGATGGTAGCCTGCATGGGAAACCATTCACACACAGTAAGTCTCCCTAACAGACGCCCAGCTGAAACAGGAACACGTTCGACTGGATGCAAATTTAACTTAATGTCCGTTTCCTTCATAGTTTGCTTTAAAAACAAACGCACCTTGACCACACTGGTCACAAATGACGATCTCATTGGGCTCCTCCGACGTCTCGTCCTGGCATATAGAGCAGGCGATGTCATCGCCCTCATCGTCCTTGTCTTCTTCTTCGTCACCTTAAATGAGCAGGAATACTAATCGGAAATATATGATTTACGAAAGCAAACCGGGTGAAACCAACAATACTACTTTTTAACGCAATTCCCTGAAAGGTTTGTGATTAAACACAAGTTGATCCTAAAAGATGTGCGTTACAGGCTATATAAGATACTAAACATGTTTTCTTTTTAATTTATAATCCTTCATAATTACAATCGTACGATGGAGTTTTAGGGCTAGACTAAAAAAAATTATGAGAATAAAGTTGTTATATTGTGACTTTCTAATAGTATGTCTGTAATTCTCCTACTTTATTACTACTTATACTTCAGCGTTAGTATCAAGGTGTTACTTTATTGTATCTCTTATAATTTATCCGTCGGTTGTGCTGTTCTTTTTCCATCTCTTTGCAGGTGATGAAGCAGAATGAAGATGTTTTATCATTATCTCCCTTTTATCTCCTCTTTCTTTGATCTTTTCTCCTTTTCCTTTCCTGTTCTACTTACATTGCGGTATCCATATAATCTGTAATACTCCGTGCATTAATTATAATAAAGCTATTTATATGCATAAATCAAGCGGATCACTATGGCGATAGCCGTACTGCTCCACTTGTGAAAGTAAAATCTGTTGGACTCTTTTTGGCATCAAGGGTATTATTCTTATTGCCACATTTCCAGACAGAACACTGTCAAATAAAAAAGAAAATAATAATAATAATATTACGAGAACAAAATCCTAATATTACAAGAATGAAGTCGTAACTTTTCGAAAATAAAGTCATAATATGAGAATAAAGTAACTTTACAAGATTAAAGTCGTAATATTATGAAGTTATTATATTACGAGATAAAAATCCTAAAACTAAAAGAATAAAGTCGAAATTTTGAAAGAATAAAGACGTAATATGAGAATAAAGCCGTACATTTACAAGAATAAAGTCGGATTTTACGACCAACTCCCACAAGAAGCACTGTTCCCTAAAAAGATGTTTTTGATTGCGGTATTAACCAAGCTTCTGTTTACTACAGAGTCCCTAAAGGGACATTGAGGGAAAAAATAAACTTTTGCGAGATCTCGCAAAAGTTTATTTTTTGCGAAATCTCGCAGAACTATTGCGGGATCTCGCAAAAGTATTGCGGGATCTCGCAAAAGTATTGCGGGATCTCGCAAAAGTATTGCGGGATCTCGCAAACGTTTGCGAAATTTCGCAAAAAATAAACTTTTGCGAGATCCCGCAAAACTATTGCAGGATCTCAGCGCTCGTCTGGAACACGTCAGATACGTTGGAGAGAAGTTCTGGATAAGTTACGCAGAAGTTATGCTATTCCGCTTCTGCTTAGCAAGACGCAGAAAAGTGACCTTTGTTGAATATTATTGCCGTTTAGGTCGGATGGATGCGACCTGGCCGTTCAGAAACAGGTCGCATAAGAAAAGATCTGACTCGTATCGGATTCAGGACCACAGAGCCAAGTGTTCTGGGTTGCATAGGAAAAAAATCGGATCTGTGTTATTCAGATTGTCAGGAAAAGATCAGATACAGGTCGCATATGGGCACAAAAACTAAAATAAAAACAATCGGATTTGGGTCACTTCAGGGTGCTATGTAAATGTAGCCTAATGTTACGTTCACACCTAAAGCAGCAGAGGCAGCAGGAGCAGCTAGTTTACATGCAAAGTCGATGGTTAACGCGCATCAAGGCACAGCAAAACGCAACCGCAGCACGTTTGAAGCAGCAGGAGCAGCGCATCTGGGAGCTGGGAGGGAGACGGACACAGCACTGCTGATGCAGAGTGCTACGATCACTTGATCCGACAGAGAAATAATCTTTGAAGGCAGGATGGTAATCTGGATGAACTGACTGCACAGACCATGTTTTCAGGAGGACTTTCTCACTTCAACATAGATTCAAACTACTTTCTACCCACTGATCACAGCTCATATAGCTGCCATTGTTCTAGGCAAAGAAAGGATAGGGTAGCTCCGCCCAACACGCATCAGACCCACTTTACCGCCGCGCAGCTAGAGCAGCAAAGATGCTTCAGCCGCGCGTCAGAACTAAACTGGTACAAGCATCAAAAATTAAGCAGCAGGTGCGTTTTAGCCGCTCTTGCTGCTTGCGGTCTGAACGTAGCATTAGTCCATATCTTCAGAACCACTTATGATAAGTTTTGGTTATTAATAAGTGGAATTGTAAACACAGAGTTTCACACTTCGTACTGTTTGGCTACTAAATTTGGATATATCCAAGTTCCACATTACAAAATAAAGGAATCGGTAATATGGAAACTGATTGATTAAAAAATTGCATGAATGGAGAATGATTAGAGGAAGAGAAGATCACCTGATAAATGAGCATTTAGTCAAACGTGTTTAAACACATAAGATGCATAAGAAATATACGTATGTTTTTCTTTTAAATACGACACCTACGCTTAATTGTTCTGTTTCATTTGGTAACATTAAAGCGGGAGTACTTTGTAAAGAGAGAGAAAACACAGGAATCTGTTTTCTTTCCAAGACTAAAATTTGTATCTTTTGTCGACTAAATCTTTTGATTTTGAAATGACTGAATAGCAACTGAACTACTAAGGATTTTCATTCAAGGCTGCTAAACATAACTGATCTAGATGACTTTTTGTTTTCATTTCAGCTCAGGTCAAAAAGTGTCATAATTTACCTGTTTGAATATCGTCCCAAAGAACCCAAGACTTGGATCTATCCTCAAAAACCACGAAGCAACGCTGCTTGTCCCGATCTATCTGGAAAAGAAAAAGTAAACACTAAATAAAAAGGGATTTGTACTTTTTAAAAAGCAGAAAATTTACACTTCTAGAGTGTCAGATTTCTTTAATTCTTTAATTTCTTTAAGGAAAAGTTTGGTCATATTCAGAAAACAAACTCCTGAACGTTCTTTAAATGTGAAATGATTCCATCCTGTTCAATAAATGATCAGTGTTTTTAATTCAGAGTCATTTCCATGTGAATGTGCTTTACTGGAGGCATCCATGTTTGTCAAAGAACACTACTGCCACCTACTGGTTTGTGACGTCACGGTGCGGTATCGGCTGTTGATCAAGTCCCAGTGCTGTATCTGGTGTTTGTCACAACGCGCTATTATCCAAGTCATCTTGAAAACATTCTTCTTCCAAATGTTGGCTACATATTACGGGTTTTTTCTCTGGCCAGAAGTTCGATGGCAAATCCTCCCTCTTCAAGTTGGCGATCCAACGACCAACCCGTCCGTGGAGGATCAGGAATCAGAAAGGTGGAATAACTCTTTTTTTTCACTTTTACCCGATGTATTCCAGCATCCAGCTGCCATGCACGTGGGCATTGTCAGTTTCACTATAGCTCTGGTGAATTTCAATGGTGAAGTCCTCTGGAAATCTTCAATAATTGTTGTTGATTGCAGATGTGTCTAGTAGTTCCCATTGATTTAGCTTGGAAAGCGGGGAGAATGGCGCTAGGCTTACCGCACCGTGACGTCACTGCTGGAAGATGGCAGGAGGGAGGGGCTACTATATTTGAGCATAACTGGCCGCTCCCAGACTCAGAGATCGCAATGAAAATTATTTTTATTTTTTTACTGATTAAAACTAAATTCATTAAATCACAGCGAACGTATTACTTTTAGATATAAATATTGATCAGTTTTTTTATTCCTTGCTGACCCGACTTTTCGTTTAAGGAATGGAAATGTTATGAGAGCTGTACAAAACGAACCTTCGTTTTGTTAATACTCTGTCTATACAAAATGACAATAAAAGTTTATAAGAGACACTTTACCAATGCAACAAGACAATTTACTAAAACTAAGAAAAACTATTTCATTGTATTATTTCAAGTGCATATTATCTAATTATCTCATTTTAAGAGTAAAAATAATAATTCCATTGGCGAATCAAATTTTACCTGCTCAAATTGAGAGCAAATACATTTAAGACTTGGGGGGGGCAAAAATGGCCGCTCCTAGACTCAACGAAAGCAATGAAAATCATAATTTAGTTTACGGATTAAAGCTAAATTCATTAAATCGTTTCAAATGTATTAGTTTCAGGTATAAATAATGATCCGCTGATTATTCCTTGCTGGTTTATGGCCCAATGATAATAATATAAATGGTCTATAAAAATGAAAAACTAGCATTTAAAGACAAGAATCCTGTTTGTTTTTTAGATTTTATAAGCATCGCCTGGCTTTACACCAACCTTTGTGATTGTTCCCAAATAGAACAAGCCATCGGACCACCTGGCCAACACATCCTGCCCCTCTGTGAACCTGGCAGACATGTCGTCTTCCCCATAATCCCCCCTCGCAGAGAGGCTGCAGGGTGACAGGGAGGCAGTCCGCTGCTGCTGCTGCTGGTAGTGGGCTCTGTGATGGACAGGAGAATGATCCACAACCTCCGAGTCTCTGAAAACAGGAAGTCAAACACAATACATCAGCACATGTTCATAAACCGGGACATTTATTAATAAATACGGAAAATACTGACAACCTTTATATGCTTGCTTTGCAAAACGAGGCAGAAAGCCCACATGAGGATCTGAGGTCCTCAGTATGTTGTGGGATTTTTTAACTTCAATAGTTCTTTGTGTTGTTGCTGAGCTTTCAGTGCGCACATTACCTGGTGACAGATGGGGGGGGGTTACCATTAGGCGATACTAGGAGGCTGCCCATAAAACTCTCTTTACATTCATAGTTAATACAGCTATTTTTTATTTGTACACCTTAATAATGTTCTTGATAAAAATTATTTCGCTACAATACCATCAGAACGCTTATAATATTAAGCGTGTCTCAGCCCCAACCCCCCCACCCCCCTTCAGTGTCCACCATATTGGATCAGTCCATTTGTTGCACATGTTCAGAAAGTAGTGATGTTATGAGATTAGCCGAGGCTTCGAGGTGTGTGTCGAGTAATGGAGGGGGCGTTTCCCCGAAGCGCGTGTCGAGGCGTGATTCATTTAGAGGTGGGGCCAAAATTAATGACGTCCGAGGCCTCGCTACCGTTAAAATCACGTGACCGCTTCGGGAAGTGCAAGAATTTTGACATGCATCTAAACAGCCTCAGTGCTCAGGCAAGATGTGGGAGATTGGAGGAGAGCTGCTGTCAGCTGGATAAAGTTTGGATAGATTCTAAGAATAGATTGGCTGTTTTTCCAACCAATCTAGTTGCTTAAAACTAATTTGGTTAGAATAAACAATGTAATGATCAAAATTTGAGAAAACCACCGGACAAAGTTAGTGTTGACAGGTTGGTGTTAAGTAGTATTTTCTCCTTGCTATGGTCATCTGCATAGGTGGCGTCATCTGTAGGAGACAGGCTCTCACTCTAGAAGTTGATTGCTTAAGACCTGTCTTTGACTTTTGAAAATTGCGATTAAACTGGCTCATGAGACTAATTTGCATTGTTTTGCCCGAGTAAAAATATAGATTCGGTAATTTAGGTCGGTTTAGTCAAAAGATTTGTTGAACACAACTTCCAACCTGATTAAAACAAAAAAAAAAAAACGTGGAAAAACTATCATTTTTGAATAAAAATGACTAACACCTTTCATTTTTCTCATAATTGCTCATCAAAGTAATTTCCCTCTGGGATTATTAAAGTATTTCTGATTCTGATGGCCCAATTTGCATAAACACTGTCACTGTCTGCTTGAGTTTATTTAACTAAAATGGCAGAAAAACTGTGAACCTTAAATGATTGTTCTAAGAAATTTTACACTTAAAAAAATTTACAAAAGATTTTATTATACACACCAACCATTAACAATTTAAAGGGAACTTGAAAGGGTAAAAAAAGAAAAACAGTTGCCAAAAAAACAGATTTTATTACAAACTGTAGTTCTGCTGTCCACCAGTGGGTGGTGACATGTTCACATAGAGCCTCATGAAGGCTTCATCTCACCATCACTATCAGAAAGGTCCAAACAGACAGCAGCAAACCATTTGAAAACAAACCGTGCAAAGAGCAGTGTTGCCAACTTAGCGCTTTAGTCGCTATATTTAGCCACTTTTCAGACCCCTCTAGCACTTTGATTTCTAAAAAGCTCCTAGCGCCAAATCTAGAGACTTTTTTCTGCTACTGGAGACTTTGGAGACAACATCTAAAAGCAGCGAACTCTGCTCTCCAGAGCGAGTAGATTGGTAACCCCGCCTCCTGCTCTCCTCTATCTTGTCTGCTGTCATGATTCATGCAGCTATTATTTCATCCAAATGAAAAATGGAGAACAGAGAAGCAGATCATGGCTTGTCTACAGTGAAAAGAAGGACTGGGTTATTTACTTTGGCCTTTTTGGAAACACAGGAAGGAGCAATCAGCTAAGTGAGCTTAGTGCTTAGAGAGAGCCCCCACATTCCTATACCAGGGTCTTTTGGTTCCCAAGTGGAAAAAAATCTACCTTTTGTCCCCAGTAGGACTGCAACAACGAATCAATAAAATCGATAAAAATCGACTTTTAAAAGCGTTAGCAACGAATTTAATCATCGATTAGTTGTGTCGCGCAATTAATGCGTCATCCGCCGCCGTCGTCATCACTGCCACTTGATTGAAACGGGGGAAGAAAAAAAAAATACGGCAGAGCGAGCCAGCGCCGCAGGTGAGCAAAGGCTGTTTTCAAAAGGCAGTAATGTCAACTGTTCTAATGACCCATACCGCAAACTGCGTCTCAATTCGTAGACAGCCTGCGCTTTGTAAAGCGAAAAAAGTCTTAACATGCAACTTTTGTAAAAACAAATGAACATGGCACGGAAGCACCGTTATGACGCAGCACCTGAAAAGGAAAGACGTTGGAGCCTTCAATGGCAGAGAGCTGATCAGCAGGCTGAGCGGCCATGTTTGTTTGGTTTTAAAGTTGGGAAACGTAACGTTAGTTTCTCAGGTAGCTCATCTGATGCTTTCCTTACCGTGTTAGTAGGTTACAGACAGGGATAAGGTTGGCTACTTATTTTACTTTTAATTTCATTTGAATTAGCTTAAGCAGCGTTTATATTTTCTTTATAAATAAATTAACTTGCAAATTATGAGGGCAAGTTTAAATCTTCTGGCAAAGATAAAGTAAAGAAGATCCTGCAATTTATGGAAGTAAAGCAGAATAAAATCCAGCAAGATCAGTAATATGTCAATTAATTATCTGCCACATTCCCATGTAAATATCTGTCTTTGGAGGATGTGTTTTTTAGCACCCCTAGTTCTCTCATTTTTATTCCAAATACAATTTATAATTTGAACCACAGGGCTATTTTTATCTCTATGGTTCAGTATTTTCTCAAGTAGCAACTTTAACTGCTATACTTTCCTGTCTTAAAAGGCAGAACTCTTCTAGTCTAAAAAAACCTCATTTGTTGAAATGGGGGGGCCTATTGTTTGAACCCCTTAGGGGCTTTAAAAAACAAAAATGTCTTTTTTGCGCTTTATGAAACAAAGTACCCTATATTCTGTGGATGTACAGCTACATTTCTCATGTAAGTTTGCGTAGTTTTAACACAAACATTTATTTTTCATATTGCACCAGGACAGTTAATGAGAAACCTGTACTTGTGTGCTTGTTTGTTCTGTCTAAAATGTTTATTTTGGAATAAAGAGGTTAATATAAAAAATATTTTTTGTCCGATTCATCGATTAATCGAAAAAATAATCGTCGGATTCATCGATTTTTAAAATAATCGTTAGTTGCAGCCCTAGTCCCCAGTAGAAACTGTTACCTCTATATTAATTTAAATCTAAAACTATTTGATCTATGCCGACTGAAGATTTTTCACCGTTCAAAAACATCAGTTCTTAATCTCCTGCTGACCCCTGGAAACATTAAATCAGAAGTCCTCCATCCTCCATCTATTAGTGTTAAAGCCAGGATTTATTCCCAGCTGGATCAGACACTTCTGTCACAACTGCTCCAGAAAAAAAATCAGTCGAGGAGATCCTGCCGACAACGCCAAATTGTAGCAGGAAAAAAGTATTCAACTATTCACCCTAGTTAGAAAAACCGAGATCATGGATTTCAATCAGTTGGCACTTTATTTTCTTATCTTTGCAAAGAGAGAACAGTTCATCGTATGGGCCTTACGGAACCGTTATCAGCCCTGTTCTGACTAGACAGAGTTTGTCTCCCTTACTTATGTTGGGGAAAACTGTAAAGGTTTTGTTAGAGTCAAAATAATTTACATACACTTTATCAAACCTTGACAAACAATTTTGCGTGTCGTGCAAATAAGTATTTTTTGTCTTAAAGCGCCACTTTCTAAGCCTTGCAGGTGAAACAAACAGAGTAAAAATATCTTTCACTGGATAAATAGCTTAACTAAATATAAGAGACGAGAAATATACATTTTCCAACCACAGACATGTACAAAAAAAAAACATTATAAGGTCAAATTGCCCTACGTTTCAAAAAACAGCAAAAAGTAAGTAATTAAATGGTTTTTGTACATGACTACATGGCCCTTTGAGGTGGTTTAAAGTGTATTTTTCATGCAAAACTAAAGGGATGAACTAAATTAATGAACGTGTATTGACTATAGGTATGCTCATCTGACTCTGGCTGACTCTCTAGGACACGCCCCCTCCTCATTTGCATAATGAGGCAGAAATGCAGACAGAGATGTAAAAAGGGCAGACAGAAATAAATAGCGGCAAAGAAATAACTAAGGTAAAAAAAATACAAAGGAAGAATAAAACAGACAAAAATATTATAACATGCACATAAATACTTAAAAATATAAGTAATTAAAAAATAAAGTTGAAGATTATATAGGACAAAAAATAAGGTAAATATTAAAAGAGAAGCTAATTAAAAGAGTTATATACATTTATGTCTCACTATAATTTAATTTCTACTTATATTTATTTGTTTATTGTATTTTTGGTGGCAATTAATTGTATGCTTATATATTTATTGAGCATTTATTTATTTCTGTATTTATTTTTAAATATGGCAGAGTTGGTCCTCCATACATCTTACAGAACAACAGCATGAAAAGTCCGCTGAGGACAAAACATAGAGAGGAAAACAACAAGAAAAGGGACGAGAGGGACAAAACCTAGAACAAATAATGGATGTCTATTCTATTAACATTTCTCTATCTGTAGAATGGGGCTGTTTGATGTGTTGGCCTCTCTATTCAGAGGGCCCCCTGCCTGTCTTTGCCTAGGGCCCCAAATTTCTTAAATCCACCCCTGCCTGGTGATTATGATAATTAGCACTAATTGGCAATTAAAGAGACGCCGAACGGTTCAATAAGCCAATCAGACCCAGAGATAAATACCAAGTTTAAAGAATGTTTTCTTATTTTTGGACATTTTTTTGTTTTTGTTTTTCTTTTCTGCTTCCCTTTAGTCTTTTGTTTGAACGGCCGAACCCCCAAAAAAAGGGAAGCAGAGAGGATAGAAAGATTCCTCTGAATGAATGAAGAGAAAATGAGTTAAAGAGGAAATAGAGGTGAAGCTGACAGCATACAGCCCACCCTCCCTCCAGGTCACAGACCGTCGAACCCCCCCACCCTCCTCGGTAGGAAAACATGACAACAATACCTCATTCGGTCACCTCTGTTGGAACAAATGCCTCGCGAGACGAAATTGGAAAAAAGGGCGCGAGTCTGGTCGTTTGTTTTGTTTTTTCCCGCTGCTGCAGAGGATCGTACTAATCTCGACCACGCGCTCCGAACCCCGCAGAGCTCGAGCCTTCCTTAGAAAATAACAAACGGTTCTCTTTCACCCAGCACGTTCGCCATTTTGCTTTCCCGCTGATAGGCGGGGAGTGCATTATGGGAAGCGGAGCCCCGAGTTCAAACTGCAGCAGCATATTCGCCTCTCTGGAAAAATAATGCTTTTTTACTTCATGTTTATTTAGTACGGAAGATGATTAGGGCCAGTGGAAAAAAAAAGGTGACTGATTTTTTAAATTTATTTCAGTTCAGTATGGGGAAAAAAGTCTGACTTTAATCTCAGAATTCTGATTTTTTTTTGATTGTCAGAATTCTGAGATTAAAGTCAGAATTCTGAGAAAAAAGTCAGAATTCTGAGATTAAAGTCAAAATTCTTAGTTAAAGTCAGAATTCTGAGAAAAAAGTCAAAATTCTGACATTTTTTACCATGTTAAAAATAAAATAAAATTTTAAATCAGTTAACTTTTTTTTTATTTTTCCAGACACAGCAGCAAACCATTTGAAAACAAACCATGCAAAGAGCAGTGTTGCTAACTTAGCGCCTTAGTCGCTATATTTAGCCACTTTTCAGACCCCTCTAGCACTTTGATTTCTAAAAAGCTCCTAGCGCCAAATCTAGAGACTTTTTTCTGCTACTGGAGACTTTGGAGACAACATCTAAAAGCAGCGAACTCTGCTCTCCAGAGCCAGTAGATTGGTAACCCCGCCTCCTGCTCTCCTCTATCTTGTCTGCTGTCATGATTCATGCAGCTATTATTTCATCCAAATGAAAAATGGAGAACAGATAAGCAGATCATGGCTTGTCTACAGTGAAAAGAAGGACTGGGTTATTTACTTTGGCCTTTTTGGAAACACAGGAAGGAGCAATCAGCTAAGTGAGCTTAGTGCTTGGAAAAAATCTTTCATTCCTTTAGAGACAGCATGAAAAGTCAGCTGAGTAGAGAGGAAAACAAGAAGAAAAGGGACAAGAAGAGAGGGACACAACCTAGAACAGATAATGGATGTCTATTCTATTAACATTTCTCTATCTGGATAGCGGCTCTGTTTTATGCGTTGTCTTCTCCTTTCAGAGGGGCCCCCTGCCCATCTTAGCCTAAGGCCCCATCTTTTCTAAATCCGCCCGTTTTTTTAAATCAAAATTTTTAAAATCACAATTCAAAATCAATATTTCAATCTATCAAATCATAATTTTGTGTATATTTTTTTTTCAGGTTCTCATTATCAGAATTGCTGTTGTGAATTTATCCTTTTCTTTATCGGGAGTGTGTCTAAACGTTTAAGCCCAACGGTATATATTTACCTCGCTAGAGTGAATCAATTCTACGATTGCCAAAGACAGAGAGGTTTACAAGGGGAAGGAGAGGAGCAAGGTGTAAGGTGAGGAAAAGCCAGGTACGTTTTATTACAGCCCAGCCAAGATAAGAAAAACTCAGGAAGACAAAGCACAAAAGTCTCAGATATTTCGTGTTTGTGAATGATAGAGTCAGTTATTAAGAAGAAAACACCCTGCATGCTCAGCACTGCTAAACCTCTGATCCTAGTTTGTCACGTTACAGCCACAAAATGAATGTCATTTATGGAGGTTTTATGTCTTAGAGCAAAGGATTAGTGCATTCATTCAGAATCACACACACCACTGTCATTAAAAATATATTAACTAATAAATTTAGTAGTTTATAAAGATAATGGTCGACCCATTGCAATATCACAGCTGAGTGACGGAGGAGGTGGAGCCTTTTTCTGTCAATCATTGAGAGAGAGGTTGGGTAGACCCTGGGCAGGTCGCCAATCCACACAAAGATGACAACTACACACACACACACACACAGAGTCAGGCCCAGTCGCATTCTTGAGAGACCAATTAATCTAACAGCCATGTTTTTAGTGTGTGGGAGGGCGCCACCTTGGAGGGAAAATGCAAACCAAGCAGAAAGAGCCCAGAACTCTGAGCTTTCATCAGGGTGGCAGCAGCTTTGCACTAAACAATACATCCAGCAGTTTTCTTCACATTATAAGCATCTTTTTTTTTCCACGTTCTATTTGAACTATTGAATCAATTACAGCAGAGAGCAAAAATGATTTCAACTCAGTTTTGAAACATTTTCAAAAAGCTGTGAATTCAGGTTTGAACTGCTTGATAATATCCCAAAAAGTAAAAAAAAAAAAATCCACTGAGCTTTGTTTCCAAGTTTGAAGACATTTTGCATTCATTATATGAATGATGTTTTATCATTCTCTCCCTTTTATCTCCTCTTTCTTTCATCTTTTCTCCTATTTTTGTTTTTCCTTTCGTTGGGATCTGGAGGTCTGTCCACCTTTCTCCAGCAGAGGGCGTTCTAGGTCTCCTGGAGCTGAAGCTAACCACCACACCTGCGGCTCACGAGCTCATCAGGAGACCGGCATTTAAGGAGGGGCAGAGCTACAATTCGACGCCAGAGTGTTTGCCAGTTATGGTTAGCGAACCTGAGCCAACCTGCCTGTCTGTATCTCTGACTCCCTTGAAGCCTGAACCTAATCTGCTTTTTGTCCTCTCTGCTTCTCAGGAAGAACCTGCCTGGAAACCTGAAGACCTGGAAGGGTTTCTCAAACGTGAGACCAAGCTGTCTATTCTCAGTAGAACCCTGGAAATCCAACTCAGTCTGAAACCTGCCTGCCCGCTCTCAGTTAGAGCTGAGAGAGAAGCTCTGAACCTGCTCAGTAAGATTATCTCCTCTGCCCTGCCTCTGCCTAGCCCTCTGCCTGCCTTCAGCCTCTGGACCCTCCTGGTTCCCCCCTTCTACCGCTCTGCTCATCTCTGATCAGGTATAGACCTGCAAATACCCAACCTGCAAGTTCACTGAAAGACTGCTAACCAATCTGTCCCTCTCTGCAGTGAAAACCAGTCGTGACCAGACCCGGACCCAGTTATTCCCAGAAAACATAGTTCTTTATTGTGAACTTGTGAACTTTTTCCCTGCCTCTGAGTGTTCTGCATGTGGGTTAGATCCCTGAAAGCCATCGTGACACCTTTCCTGTTCTACTTACATTAAAGTGTCCATAAAATCTGTAATACTCCCTGCATGAATTATAATAAAGCTATTTATATGTATAAAGTTATTCTTATTGCCACATTGCGAGACAGGACACGTTTCTCTTCCCATTCAGGAAGCTTTTTCAATTAAAATGTCAGAAATAGATTTGAGTTCGAGGCTTTATACAGTAGCCCAGAGGTCTTCAACAGGGGGTCTGCAATCCCTAGGGGGTCCACAGAGGTACTGCATGGTGGTTGCGAAAGTTTGGTTGATTAGACTTTTTTTAATATTCCCCCCTGCAATTTTTTCCACTAATTGAAATGTCTTTAAATCCACATTAACATGAATTCAACAGACTGTAGTAAACAGATAAATGGAGGCAGAAGATGTCTTTCAGTCATCAATGCTCACATTCAGAGACACACAGGAGCTCTTTCAAGCTGGGCACCGTTTCATTCACAACACCTGTCCCATCAACCAGGAATCAGAAATACTTTAATAATCCTAGAGAGGGATTACTTTAGTTACATTACTCCATCTGTAATAGAGGGACTATACCAGTTGGTATAACACAATATCATAAAATATATATAATTAGGGGGTCCCCGCTCCATCTTGCCATCAGTTTGGGGTCCTTGGCCTGGAAAACGTTGAAGACCGCGTCAGTAGCCTGTCAAAAAATCACACGGTAAATGTCCGGCTTAACTGACTCAAACCGCCGCGCTGTGCTGAGATGCAGGGGAAACCGTATCTGATGGGGAAACGCAGCTCGACGTAATGCCGTTACTCCCATCACTGAATGCGACAGAAATCAGGAAAGTAAACAATGGAAAGTAACATGTAAGGAAGCCAGGGCGTAGTCAGTGTGCTTTATTTTTCACTCCATTATCTGTGTGAATCCTCTCACTGGTGCTGGCTGTCAGTACCCGATCCGTACTGGTAGAACAATCCGTACCATCAGCTCATTCCTGCAACCAGACATGCATCTGGGTTGCCCTCGATTTTACTGTTTAAAAAAAGACCTAGATTACCCTTTTCCCTCCCTAAAACTAGTAAGTGTACTAAACTACAATGTGTTAAAGGTTAATAATATATTTCTGAGAAAATAAATGCATTTAAATTCTGTTTTATCACTCGTCTGTGCCCAATCAGTCCCGGAAATGGGATTATATGCTACTTCCGGGAGCTAACTTTTTCAGCTTTGGATTAAAACATAAATTTTTTAACCTTATGGTACATAGTGCTGATCTAAAGAAAGAAACATCTAAAATGCAGATGGTTTAATGATATCCTGCTGGACTGCTCTGAGCATGTCCGATAATGACGTCACGTAAGCAGTTTATCGGAAGCAATTAGCATTGCTTAGTGATTTATGGAGAGAAATAAGTACTTTTGGAACCATAATTATATTATTTCTTGCGACCTGGATGAATATCTGATTGCATTTGTGCAAAGGAGCTGATGGTACAGATCTTTCTTCCCGTACGAATCGGCTAGTGAACCTGCACCATGTTTATCGAAAAGCAGAGTTGTTTCTGCTTGTTAGTTCAGAGGAGATTGGCACCGTGTGTTGACGTCCATACGTTGGTTTAAATGGTATCATTACGGTAATTAAGCGGGTCAACCCGGCTCTGTTGTTCCCTCATCATGCAGATCAGAGACGAGGCGGTTTTAACGCGTGTCGCTTGCCGAGTCATTTGAGCCAGGTAGACTTTCGTAAGTGAGCTGTTCCCACTTCCACTAAAAGTCGATTGTTCCCGCGTTTAAACTGTTTTTTTTTTTTTCCACTGGGAGAGGGGTTTCGTTCTTCACTGAGGCCGTTGGTATTTTTCTACTTTCTTATGTTCTTTATTCCTGATGTTTCCATCATCTGGGATGGCCACATCCATCACTATCGCTGTCCTCTGCTACTTATCAAAAGTACCGTATTTTCCGAAATATTGAGTGCACCTCACTATAAGCCACACCCACTACATTTTTTGGGGGAAAAAATGGAAAGCTATTATGTAAGCCACACCAGGCTATAAGCCGCTGATTTCTACTGAACTGTCTCCCACCAAACCTGTAGGGGGCGCTCTACATAT